GGCCTTAAATATTATTTGATGTAGTGTTTGTGAATATGAATTTACACAGATGGAGAAATCTTGTTTCTACACTAATAAACAGAACTTGTTTCTACACTAATAAACATTGTGATAATGCAGAACAGCAAAATAATAGAAACAAGATGTAGTGAGCCAAATCCCTGTCCCACTGAAGCCAGTGAGAGTTTTGCAACAGACGTTAATGAGAACATACATTTTGCATAAGTTTTATGAAGTTATACTATATTTTAAACAAATATTTTGGGAGGGTTAGTGTACTAGCTTTTTTATCTTTTAAGGTCAGGTGAGGGTTCAAATTTGCCTGAGACCCTTAAAAACTTTACCCCGGTTATATTGAAAATATATTCCGTGCAGCTTTCCCCCCAACCATGAGCATCCAACTTTATTGTCTCCCTAGCTTTTACTGGATCACGTTCTAACTCCTTGCAGTTTTGCCCCCACCTGTGTCTCCTCTTTCCTTCTAATCTTCCCTCTGTACTTTTCCCAATCTATACTATTGCAATATTTCTCATAGCATATTGTTTTCTGTCACATGGTTCTTCAATATCTATCCACCTAGGGTATGTTAAGATACTCTTAGTATGCACAGTGATTACTTTAAAACTGTAATAATTACAAAATGCAAATTTAGATTTATCCTCTATCTGAAATGCCTTTCCCTCAACACTGAGCAAACACTTATTTCAGATATGTCATGTGTATGTAGATACAATTAAATATTTGAGGCATCAACTGCAGGGCTTCTTGTAATGCAAAAGAACAACCTGTAATTAATTGTGATGTATATCATCAATATACATTTTAATCAGCATTAATAACTCTGACATTGCATTGTTAAATTTATTCGGAGAAGAAAATATTGCAAATGACAGACTAAATAAATGATAGTATTTACATTACTCTAGTTTGCTTAAGAATGTCAGTTTCACTTTGCAATTGTAATATAAAAATTTGCATTGAAGGGGGGGATGTAAATTAGGGTGCTTTTAGAAATACATAGTGTCATAATGCTGTCTGTATGACTCTCCTCTTCCCCTTTTCCTATGCTACTGCCCCATGAACAGCTCATTATTTAGTGCTCACATTAAACCAGAATGGACTTTACCCCTTTCCCTCTTCTTGTCTCCTTTAAATTATGTGTGTACTGCAAATCTATTGGATGAGATGGGAGTGGATGTGGTGGTTGCACAGACATATATCACCCATAGTTTTTATACATATGCCAATTTCTGCACTGTTACACTAGTGTAAATCGAAAGTAATGCCATTAAAGTCCATGAAGTGTCCATGAAGTGATTCCAGACAACAGATTTGTGTCCATAGATTTCATATAGCACTTTTCACATGTATTCTAGTACTTTGCAGAAATAATAAGCAATGGTAAAATCAGTCACAAGTTTAATTAATTTTGTTGCTTAGATCATCATACGGTTAAGGAGTGATAAAATAATAGCACAGCTTTGCTGATAAAATGACAATATCTATCTAAGCAGAGAGAAGCTATCTACTTCTGTACTTTGGTTCTGAAAGGTCAATGTAAATGCTAATTGATTGTAATCCCTTTGCAGCCATTAGTGCTCTATTTTTACTGGAAAAGTGATCCCTGCTATTTATGTTGCCTCATTGTTTTATAGCTCCAGTGAATGAACTATAAAGGTATCAAGAACATTAAGATTAGCTGTTTTTCTAAGTCGCTGACTTCATGTTTCAATAAAGTGAAAATTGAGCCTTCTGCTTTATTTCAGTGATAGTTTTAAACATATTTCTGTTATTCTTTCACGTTTATATTACCAACCCCTGTTGATTTTATTTGTCTTTTTTTCTTTACAAGAGAAATAAAATTGTTAGCTTTTAGTCATAAGTTATAGAGTCAGTTATATCTATACTTATTTTAGAGCATAATCAGTGTCTCAGGTCTCTTATCTTACTATACATACTTTCCAGCTTCACTTGTTAATAACAAAGTCAAAAAAGGGCAAGGCTAAACTTGTCAACACAAGTCTAATGGTTAGAACCAGCTTCTTCCCTGATTAGCTCTTCTGCCTATGATCTCAGACTCACAACTATTTCTGTTAAGGTAATCCAATATGACACCTGATACTGGAGCTTTTTGGCATAAACACCTTTGACTCTTCATAAGGTTTTCCTACATCAGTTGAGCGGACCCCTCATTAGAATATTTAAGATCATGAAGTACTAGAGCAGGAAGAACAAAATCTACAAATCCTTTTTTCCACAGTATTATACTTGGAACTCAATTTTATTTTGGGGACTTGCATAAGGATCTGTTTTGCAAAGGCTTTTCTGTTATACAGTCAAATAGTCAAACTTTTTTCACAATTTTTTTGATCTTATCATCATCTTTCAAATTTTTATATAATCTACAAGCCTGAAAGTGTGTCATCACTTTATTTTTAAATTTCTTGTATGTTTTACTGCTTTCTGACCGGCAACATTAATAAAATCATCCCATGGAACACTTTCCCTCTCCTTTGCTATCGTGTAGATCACCTCTCTTCCTGTTCACAATCACATAACATTGCTGAAGCAATTACAGCAGCTATTTATATAGAAAACACTAGGGAAATATTTAATATATTTTAGCAGTCTTTATTGATAATTAACACCTGAAAACAAGGGAAATGAGTCAGCACCATGAGACCAGCCAGCTTCTTACAAGCCAGTTTGAGTACTGCTGAAATAGCCTACAAATGCTACTTATTCTCACACTTAATCCATGCTACACAGAACACCACCTTAATCTGACCTTTCACTCACATCAGGCAGAAACATATTTCAGTAAGGTAAAGGGTGCACTGTAATGGCAGAGTGTCAAAATGCTGGGAGGGAAGGTTGGTATTCTACATACAGGTGCTTGCTAGTGTCTTGGGTTGGGCAACAAGATCGGTGCATAGATTGGCAGTTTGGGGAGTGGCACCTGCAAAACAAGTATTAATCCCTTTAGATTCAGAGATGAGGAGAAACCAGTGATGTGGAAGTGATGGAGGGGGAGTCATAGTGGGGTCACATGAGGAAAGGGTGTTGTGGAGGGGGGATGCCATCTTAGGGGGTACAGGGGGTTCATGGTGGGGCATCACACGAGAAGGGGTGTCATGGGGGCACAAAAGGAGTGAGGGGAGGAGGAGGCACAAAGAGGGATGTAATGGGGGGGGGGTTAAGAACATAAGAATGGCCATACTGGGTCAGACCAATCACTCTGAGGGGGGTGCCAGATACTTCAGAGGGAAGGACCAAGAGACTGCTCCCAGCTTCTGGCACTTGGGAGCTTAGGCCATGCAGAGTCTGGGGTTCACGGACAGGCTTCTACGACGGCAGAAGGAACCAAAGGGGGGCAGCACTGGAGTCTCGGGGGAAGCCTGTGCAGGGACAGGCTGGGGTTATGGGAACACGGGGTAGTCTGTGGGGGTTTCCACCCCAACGGTCAACGAGGAACACCCGCCTCCTCGACAGCAGCTGATTGGCTAAAAGGCGGAGTCGCGGCACACCGGAGGACAACGCAAACACAGCGCTCAGAAGGTGATTGGCTGGCAAGACGCCGCGCTGCGCTCGCGGGCGGCGATTGGCTAGGAGCCCTTCCCCTCAGTACGAGAAGGTGATTGGCTGAGAGGCTCTGGCGCCCTTTTTGCTCTGGTGGCGGCGAGGTGTGGGTGACGCATTTGTGTGAGTCCAGAAGAGGACACGTACCGTGCTGCCGTCCACCGTCCGTCCCTTCAGAGCCTCCCCGGCGCGGGGGACGGGCCAGCTGACGGGGAGGGGCACATTTTCAGTCACTGTAGGCGTCTGCGGGGAAAGGTCGCTTAAGGAGTGGGCCACGGGGCTAGGAATCGGATTTCTCGCCTCAGTGGGTGGGGGGCAAAGCCCCTCTCCTCGCTGACGGGGTCTGGAGGTGGTCCCAGGGAATAGACGTAGCGCCGCAGTGACTAGAGGCAGGGGGCCCTTTCAGTAGGTAGGCATGGAGAGCAATGCGGGGGTGGGGGGCGATGCCTTTTAGAGTCCATAGGCCTCAGCAGGGATCAAATATCTGTCATGAATCCCTGAGGGCTTGAACTCTCCCACCCCTCCTCTAGCACATCTCGATCCTCAGGCTCACTATGGTGGTAACACAGAAGGTGCTTCCTAGGCAAAAATAAATGGGTTGTGGCCCTCCAGTTGCCACCATTTTTGACAATCTCAGCAGGGAGTTGAAGGATTGAAATGAGCAGGATCATTTCAATGCAATGGTGTGTCATTGCTTCAAAACCATACAGCAGTGGTTGCGGAACCCATCTGCAGAAGGCGTTTGACACCTTGGAGAGGGCATGTTTGAGGCATATTAGCAGGGCAGTACAGAGAACATTGTGTTCGTGCTGTCTGCTGTTTCGGTGAACAAAAAGAGGAAGGGCTTAAATTGCCAAAATATTCCTTGGAGTTTAGCACATTGTTGTGGAATTCTCTGCTTGGTGTCTCCTCTGGATCACTTGTTTTGATCCTCTCACCTACAAACCTGCCCCTTTTTTTAATGTTTTGTCTCCTCATAGCTGCTGATATCTGGACTAGTGACCCCTCTGCCACCTAAGGGGGTGGATCTTTGTTTTTTTGTTGGGCTTCACCGACCCATACCCATTGTCAAATAGATTGGCTCCTTTTCACAAGCATGGAATTATCGCATGCTAATAAAGACCTCTTATTGACTGTAAGATTTCTAAAAGTAAAATGGAACTGTTGAAACTAATTGAAAATTCATTAAGATAAAGCAAAGAATTGCTTGAATACTAAAAATAATCTAGGGTGCATGGTTGGTCTCTGAACAAAACATAATACTTCTTGTAGTGCCCCACTCAAATTTTTAGAAATTCTAATGTACTTTCTTACTGACTAAAAATTAAACCATGCTTGTCAAATCAATTGTAAACTCTACTGGAAAATCCATTTTAGTCATTTGTATTTTTTCTATGACATTTTGTTCCTTTGCTGTACAGCTGATTATGTGAAGTTGCCAAAATGCCAGCTAAACGTGAGGTGCAGGTATGTATTTGTAAGGTAGGAAAACTGTGTTTACTGTGTATTAGTTAGTTGTTGGTTTAAATTAATTAATTTACTACCTTTTCTAGTCCCTAGTTATAAGTAAAGATTTAAATATATTATTTAACAATTGAGCACCATTGTGTGCTTAGGAATACTAGGTCAAGAACTCTAGTTCCTTTCCCCAAGGATTTTATAATGTGACAAATTAGAAAAAACAGTTTGGAAAATTGAAGAATGTAAGAAAATCAGGTATTCATAGACATCTGAGATGTTGAAGAAAGTTTGCATCACTATATATCATTCTTGTTCCTTTTCAAATGATAGCTTTTCAGCTTCCTAATAAAAAAGCTATGAAATGCTAGACAGACTACCTGAGTGACCCTAGGAACAGGACAAAGAATACCAACCTGTATTATTAGTATCGCCCTGCATGGATACAAAATTTGTATGCACATCTGGTCCACAAAAAATGATCAACCAATATAAAGCAGATATCTGCAGATTTGCAGGGCTTCAGATGTGAAATTTGGATCCGCATCCATCCACAATCTGCAAAAATGGTCTGCGGATGCAGATATCTGCAGCTGTAAAGCAAATATCCAGGGATTTGCAGGGCTCTAATTATTAGGTAAATTAGAAAATTAAGAAAATACCACAGAAATAAGATATATTTATTCCAAACTTTTTTTTTTAAGGGACAGGTATACACTTTGAAATGAATAAGGTGCTGTAATGTCAATGTTTAAAAAAAAAAAGATGAGGTGGGTGAGAGATAAGGTTTCCTGAGGAAGAGCTTTGTGTAGATTGTCTCTCTCACTAATAGAAGTTGGTTCAATAAAAGATATTACCTCACCCTCCTTGTCTCTCTAATGTCCCGGGATCAACACAGTTACAATAACATTGTATACAATGTTTTTAAAAATTGTATTAATTTTGCAAACTTTTGGGGAATTTTATTTTCAGCTTGAAACAATTTTTTTGTGAAATCACTATTTTAAATTCAGAACCATCATGTGTTTTGGCGTGTCATATATTGCTGTACAGTAAACAGAATTTTGATGGTACGAAGTAAATAATATTAATGATAGAATGTCTTATTTATACAGTCAACTGATTCTACAGGCCTGATCCTGCAGACACTTAAGTACATGAATAACTTTTCATATGAGTAGTGAAGTGAATTCTATGTAGTTTTGGAATACTAGGAAAAATGCTTTTTTCTTTACATGTTCAGCTTTTCTTTTAAACAATGGTATGGTAGAACTCAATGAGATTACTCATAAGTGTAAAATTGCTCATGTGTTCTGGTGTTAGCAGGATTGGGCCCTATATTTGATATTAAAGATACTGCATCATTAGTTCTATGGCATAATGCTGAACGGTAGCTTTTTAGCACTGTCCAAGAAGCTGGAGTGCTAACATTGTACTGCATGACTGTTACTAACAGTTAAGGCTAATTGTGTTTAACACTTATAATTTTAGATGATATTTTCAAAGAATAACTGTAAGGAAGTAGGACAGTGTGGGCCCCAATCTTGCTGCAACTGAAATCAGTGGAAGTTTGCTATTGATTTCAATTGGACAAGGAGCAGGCCGTTGCTTATTTAAATAATAATAATAATAATAGTTTTTGCTTGATTTTAGTTATCAGGCTAATAAGAAGTAACAATGACTAGTGTCTATCAACTGTTGTCTTTTTCTCATCACTTAGACATCTGATCTTGCAAAGTGATAGTGTTCTATAATGCACTTTTCCACATACTTTCAATATTATCATATTAATATGGGAAAGCACCACATTATTAGCTAAGATCCTGAAGAGGAGTATGTTAAAAAAAATTTGTATCAAACCTTGTTAAAGTAACATAAAATCTCAACATATAGTAATGTAGTTATTTTTTTGTTTTCTTTGGCAGTTGGAAAAATGCATAGATGATGCCACAAGAAAAAATAACTTCCAGTTATTAGAACAATTTCTGCAAACAGAAGGATGTGATAACATTTCTCATAAGTGCAGCAAACAGTTTTTCAACAAATTTGACAAACTTATATGCCGGGTAATTTGCTTTTTATTTCAAAAAGTTTCAGGCTATTATTGCTTGTGGAATATTGCAAAAAACATTATGTGGGATGGTCTGGATTACATCAGCAATTCACTGGAGAGCTGAAAAATAATAAAGACATCAAAACTCAGGGTTTGATAGTAGTATTTCCTTTAGAGAATGAAATATTCGTTATTAAATATCTACTATTATCTACTGTTCAAATTTCTGTTATTTCAATACACTGACCTTAGGTGCTTTGTCATTTTTCACATTTGGCTGGTAAGTGTCACTTTTCTATCTGTACTAATTTTCTTAATACTCTTCCATCATCTCAACTTATCTAAGGGCACCTTCCTGTGCTCCTTGTGCACCCAAAGTTCCCACAGAGATCATTCTGTTCCCTTTTCACTTCCTTTCAACAAAGAACCATGGGTCAGATTTTCAAAAGTCTTCTGCTTTCATAGATGGGACCATCTTCCAGAAGAGCTCAACACCCAGAAGCTCCCACTGAGAATATACTTATTCAATGGGAGCTGCTTGGTGCGAAGTATTTTTGAATAATCTGTCCAGTTATTTAGGTGCCTAAGTGGGAGCTGTTGTTTGGTGAGTTCTTTTAAACATTTGGCCCCTTATAGTTAAGTGATCTCTGCCCACTGCATCCAAAACTCAGTGTGCATGTACAAAGAGAGGTTGTTGAGAGTTTCTCCTCCATCATAATCCCTAGATAGAGGCCAGGCACAATGAGAACTCTTGCACTCTTACTGGGCTAGCGCTTCTGTTGGCTCCAGCCTCTAGTCTACAGAGATATATGAGAGGCGGTTGGGGCAGAGTGTGGTGCAGAAAGGAACACATGGTTCACTTTCTTTAAGGATGATGCAGTGTCTGCCCTCCTCTGAGCTCCAGGAGGTATTGCATTTCCCTTACCTCCCTCAAGGGCAGTATGATTCCACATTGTCCCCAACATGTGCTTGCTTAATGCCACAATTTAACTCTGATTAATTACAACAGTAGAGGTCTGCTGGTTCTAAGGCTACTAATTAACCTTTCAGGTAATTTATACAAACGTTTTATGTTTGTCTGAGCCATTGAGAAGAAATTTCACAATTATATTGTCTATACGATCTGTATTGCTACAAGAATATAGCAGAGTTTTTAGCTGCAATGCTATGCTTGTATATAGCCAGCAACCTAGCAAAAAATGTCTGGTGCATGCTACTAGCGTTTTTTCTTTAAAAAGATCTTCCTTTATGACCACAGTATACTTTTGGATATTTGAATTGATCACACTACATTATATTACTTTTCCTCTGTAATGGTGACCTACTTCTTACTTGACCATTCTAAAGCACCAAATAAATTCCATAGCAGTCATATCTTTTAGTGTTACATTCAAGACTCTAGAAATCAGGTTACATTCAGAGGCGTTTACAATGGCATTGCAGTGCTTACTTTTATGTATCACTTTAATATCAATACTCCACATGTACAGTTATTCAATAGTCCTGTGTTAGAAATACTAATTTTGAAAAAACACGTTTCATTTTAATGTATGTTAATTATACAAATTTAAACATAATGAAATGTGATTATAATTTGACTTTTTCTAATTGAGTTACAGGATATTTAGAAGACTGTCTTGAGGTGTTTTAACAATTATTGTGACCGTTTTTTTTTCTTTTTTAAACAAATGCATTTTTATTTTTGAAAGGTTTACTTGTTTACTTGTTCATCTTGAGATTGTTCATTTGTTCCTGAGATAAGGTGATTCTCTCCCCAGGAAGAAAAACTTTTTCATATATGCATAAATTAAGATTAGTTACCTCAAATTTTTCAAGAATAACTGCTTGAAAATATGTAGTTTTGAATGAAAGCCTTAGATTTTATTCGGTTTTACTTTTTCTGACACTAAAATTAGATATCTCTAGTGACCTCCAGTGGTAAAGAGTAGTAATGAAAAGGTATAGATTACAACTGAATCATTGGGGCACCGGTCCAACATTTAACAGCAATTTTTTTTCTCTTTCTCTCCAACTGCTTGAAAGAGAAATATTATCCAAGCATATGTAATAATTTATGAGAACACAAAAACATTTATTTTGCTAAATGAAGTACAGATTGCTTTATACTATACACTGAAGCTTCTACTGGTATTTCAATTTTAGGAACTTGACAAACAAGAAGTCAAGAATGTTTCAACTTTGCTAAATTCTCTTCAGAAACATGGTAAAAATATCATCATACCAGGTGGAGATGGTTTTCAAGCAATGATCAAATATGGTCTTGTTGAAAAGATAAGTATAACTAAAATCATACGTATTGCACTATAAAGCATATATAATGCTATGGGTAGTTCAATAAGCAAACATTTTTTTCAAGATTGTTAGAAATTTTGTTAATTCAGAAATAATTGAAGACAAAATAACTGATTAATCAGTTCTAAATATTATACAATAAATTATATCTTGTAAAGAGATGTTGATACAGCACAGTGAAGTCTTCATAAATAATGAAAGGTGTAATTAATTTAGATATTCTAGTAATTATTGGAATAACAATGATAGATATTTCATGTAAGCTTTGTTCCTGGCTAAATTAGGAACCCTTTGTATTTTTGAAAAAGGAGAGAGAAGAGAAAAGAAGTTCTGTTTTTAGGTTTTCATAAAATACTGCATTAGTGCCAAAAGCTGGAATTTCCTGGTGCAATGTGTTAATAAATTTTGCATTAGAGCTAGCAATAGGAGCCTTAGATCTAGCACCTTCAAGGGGTTAACATACAATTTCAATTAATTACTACCAGATCAACCTGTACAATGTGTGCACCAATCCATGACTCAAACTTGTATATTCATACTGATCTAATATAGACAACTTCCAACTTGCATAAAGTATCTGTTTCACTGAATAGAATTAATGGTGGTAGACTTAGAAAATGTTTGCTGCTGGCTTGTTTCTCAGTTGCTTTCAGAAAAAAGAGAAAAATGACAAGATGGGTGATAATGGCATGACTCTATTCACATTTATAGGCAGATTTTCAGCCAGCCTTGTACCCTCTCCCACTTTTTTGTGTAAACAATAGCAGTAACAAAACTGGGCACATAGTTATTGTGAGTACAAATCATGCAGTAGGATATGTAGTTACAGAAGTGATCACTTTGAGCTGCATTTTCTTGAGTATATGTGCAAAATTGGAGGCTGCGGTTGTAATCTACTCAAAGAAATCTGGACACTTTTAAAAATAATAGAAAAGAATAATCTGGAAATGTATAATACAAAATGTTGCTTTTTTGCTTCATGTTTAATAATAAAAGTAATGTTTTTACCCTTTACATGGTTAGTTGGTTTGAAAAGGCAAAAGAAATTCTGATATTTAGAAGAAATGAAAAAAATGAAGCACTTACAAGTCTAGTTGAAGATTTCTTCGATGTTTTGATGGTAAAAATATTTCATAAACCATTTTATAAAATATTAAGCATGAATTTGTAAAAACAGTGATTTAACAGCAAAAGATATTTTCAAACATTCTTTTCCTACTTAATTTTCTTTTTCAGCTAATGTTGCACTGATGTGGTTTTTGACAAAGATAGATTACCAGCTCATTTTGTTAAAAAAATACTATACTTGCATTCAGACTTAAATACTGCCTACTAATAAAAGACCTGACCATGCAAGTGCTTAGTGCACAAATTTCTCAATTTATCCTATTATTTTATCCAAAAGGTAGTAGCAGTGCATGTCTATTAAGCCTCCGAGGCGCTGGTCATGCAAATCATGCTTACATACATGCTTAAATTTATGCAGAGAGACAAGGTAGGTGAGGTAATATCTTTTATTGGACCAACTTCTGTTGGTGAGAGAGACAAGCTTTCGAGCTATACAGAGCTCTTCTTCGGGTCAGGGAAAGGTACTTGAAATGTCACAGCTAAATACAAGATCAAACCGATCATTTTGCATAACTAATTAGTGCACATTCAAGCTGTGACACTGAGTATCTTTTCCCAGACCTAAAGAAAAGCTGTTTGTAGTTTAAAAGCTTGTCTCTTGGCAACAGAAGTTGGTTCAGTAAAAGATATTACCTTACGCATCTTGTCTCTAAGGACTGACACAGCTACAACATCACTCCATATAACTTTATGCCGTCATTGGCACTACTCCTGTTCATAAAATTAAGTGTGTGCATAAATATTTGCACCATTAGGGGTTTAATTATTGACACGTATATTCTATATTGGAATTGGAAAAGGTTCAGAAATCATATGGTAGGGTACGCAGTTACAGAAGTGATCACTTTGATGGGTAGAAATCAGCAGTAGGAAAGGTTCAGAAAAGGGCAACAAAAATGATAAGGGGTATGGGACAGCTTCCATATGAGAGATTAATAAGACTGAGACTTTTCAGCTTGGAAAAGAGACAACTAAGGGGGGGATATAGTAGAGGTCTATAAAATCATGACTGGTGTGGAGAAAATAAACAAGGAAGTGTTATTTACTCCTCATAACACAAGAACTAGGAGTCACCAAATGAAATTAATGGGCAGCAGATATAAAACAAACAAAAGAAATTATTTCTTCACACAATGCACAGTCAACCTGTGGAACTCTGCCAGAGGATATTGTGGAGGCCAAGACTATAACAGGGTTCAAAAAAGAACTATCGGTAGATAAATTTATGGAGGATAGGTCCACCTCTGGCTATTAGCCAGGATGGGCAGGGATGTGTGCCAGAAGCTGGGAATGGGCGACAGGGGATGGATCACTTCATGATTACCTGTTCTGTTCATTCCCTATGAAGCACCTGGCATTGGCCACTGTCAGAAGACAGGATACTGGCTAGACGGATCTTTGACCCAGTATGGTCGTTCTTATGACAGATAGATTAAAATAATATACATGTTTTAGTTGTGGGAGAGAACTGTAAAATCTGAACATTGACCAAATATTTTTAGGTCCATGGACACAGAGTAAATTATTCTGCATGTTAATATGTAAAGTGTTTAAAATGTATTCATATTCTCATTTTATTATAGCTTGTACATGATACCAACAGTGAAGGTATGTACAAAAATCAGTATTTAAGTTACTGTTATTTTGCTAATCATATCCACTTTTTGATTGATCACTACTGAAATAGCTTCTTTATATTACTGGCAAAGGATCTGATCTAGTTAAAATCTATGACCTTTGGAACCATGTGTATTCTGGAAGGTCATGGAAACCCAAACAAACAAGCATTTGTGGAGCCACCTAGAAACACAAGAGCTCAAACAAATGAGCTTTTAAGTCCTTGGGAAATTAAAGCTCCTCACTTGCAGATATCAGTGTGAAGGTAGCAGAAAGTGTTCCCCCAGTATGTTGAAGCAGTTCTCCTATGTGGTCATGACTGAACCATGTGCATACAGAATTGTGTTTTGCCAAACAAGTGTGACGTTTGTTAGATTGCTGTAGCAACTAATAAGCACATTCTTTTTCAAGTATGTGTCCATGAGGATCTCTCACTATGTGGGCAAAGTCAGCATCTTTCAAATAAGTGTCCATTGGGCCACACCAGTGCCATGCATGTCCTCGTGCCTCCCCACCCAAGATCATGAAGGGCAGAGTGATTGCAACTTTTCTGTTTCCTCTTACCGTCCATGGCAGCGAGAGGGAACTAGTGGCGTGTGCCTGCTACCCTTTAGAAGATTTCTCTTCTACCAGTAGTTATCTACTTACAGTTAAATTTCCCTAAATACTTCTCCTTTATTGCTTTGTTTTTCTGATTCAGATAAAAAAACAGAACAACCCCAACCCTCCACCCCCAGATTTTCTAAGTTTCTCCTGTCTGATCAAAGGCAGATCCCATTAGGAGGTGCTGCAGCCTTGAACTATGTCCTTCAGTCATTCAGGCAGCTGGGCCTCATAGCTAACTATAAGAAATCATCTCTCATTCCCTCACAGACAATGGAATTCATAGGAGCTGTATGCAACTCCAAAAATGGCAAAGTCATATGTTTCTGAAGAAAGATTTGTCTCTTTAGTTGATAATCACCCCAGTATCAAATTGAATCCAGCAATGATAGTACAGAACTATCTCAGACTTTAGGTCACCTGTCAGCCTGTACTTGATGCTGCTTGCCAGGCTTTACCATCATCCATTACAAGCCTGGCTACGGTTGGAGTATTGCCCTATGAGACATCAAATGTGCATGCAGATTGTTGTTTCATCATGCAGTCTGTCATCTTTAAACTGAAGACCCCTCTCTGACCCCCAGAAATTTCAGAGAGGGGTCTTTCTCCTACAAAGATACTGATCATGGATGCATTGGAGACAGGTTGGGACATGCATCTTGCCACCTCTAAATACAAGGAACTTGTTCTCAAAAGGATATGACGCTTCACATACATGTACTGAAGCGAAGAGTGATCAGAGTAGCTTGCATGGCATTCTATCCTGTCCTGTGGAATTCCACAATGCAGATTCTCACAGACAACACATCTGTAGAGTACTCTAAGCAAGCAAGGAGGTGCTGCTCATCACCTCTGTATCAACAGGTTATCAGATTATGCATATGATGTCAACAACATGGGATTAACCCAGGAACTCTTCATCTCCCAGGAGTCAACAATAATCTAGGAGATTTTCTAAATAAACAATCCATGACCAACTGCAACGGATATCTGAAGAGCTCCACCATCAAGCCAATATTTCACCAGTGAGGCAATTCAATAATAGTCCGGTTTGATAGCAATGACAATGTGGAATGTCCAGCCTTTTGTTCTAGGGCAAGCATGAGCCCTTGAACAAAAGAACCTTCCTCATACCATGAGATCAAGGTCTTATGTATACCTTTCCAATCCCCTTGATTCCCCGAGTGACGTATAGGATCAGGCAGGATGTAATGATACTAATCCTGATGTCTCCATGTTGGCTGAGACAATGCTAGTTATATTCTCCACGTCTATTTCGTCTCCTATGCCACTTCCAGTAAAAAAGATCCTACTGCAAAGTAGGATGCTTTCCACAAGGAAAACGTATTCCTGTAAATGGAAAAAATATTTAATCTGGACATCTCAACACAATCTTGACATGGTGAAGGCCCTTATTCCAAAGACCCTGGACTGTATTCAGTATTTAAAATATTCTGGCTTGTGGTCACACTGCCATTTATGCCCACGGGTCGAGGAAATGCACAGTGCAGGCCTGGCCCACTACTGTTTAAAAGGTTCTGAGCTCATGTTTGTGGGGCACATGCATATCTAGAGTTGAATCCACACAGATGACACCAAAGAACCTCTTGTATAAGGTAAGCAGCCGTTCTTTTTGCATTTTAACTGCAATATATGGAATTTATAATATCCGTACACTAAATATCAGCAATCTTGTGTGACTTTGGAAAGGAATTATTAATATGGATTGTTTCATTTGTAAATAAAAACATTTTTATTGGATATATAATAATGCTAGACTTGTGAATACTGTTGAAAAACTAATGTGTGCAAAACCTCTCAGTTTTTAACTCTTTTTTCTTAATTGATTAGGTAAAATACAAACATTAGAAAGCTTTATACTGAGAATATGTACCCTTGTAGCTGATGTAAGAATCAATATTTATATTCAGCAAGAGGTAAAAAAAATTTAACCAACATTTTTATTAGTAGGCATTTAACAGAAGGTTGTGAATTTCCTTAGTAATTTAGCTAGACAGATGTCAAAAGGGGAAGAACAAAATAGTTGTAGAAACTTTTTAATGATTCTGCCATCTCTCTAAGAATGTACAAAAGTTTACTTGCCTAGACTAGAAATTCCATTTTAGGCAATAAAGTACAAAGTATATGCTATTTGTCATACAAATACTATAGTGATAAGCATCATATACAAGCATATAAAATATGCTATATTGCAATTGCCAGAAATATCTCTTTTTAAAGTCCATTACTATAAAATGGTTAATAAATTGTATCTGTAGTATACAGTATTTTACATAGTATGCTTTCATGTCAATAAAATATCTTGGGTGAAATCGTGCCCCCGTTGAAATCAATGGGAGTTTTCCCATTGACTTCAGTAGGGCCAGGATTTCATTCCTTGGGTATGAAACTATTATAAAATCATTATCTTTTATAGAAAGACACTCTCCATTAAGGGCTAAATTTTCAAAAGCCCAGCCTTTTTTATGGATACAAATTGCCCACATTTGTTGCATCCATAAAAATTGCAGGTAATTTTTGCTCCAGCAATGAATTGCAGGCACCCTGATTTACATCAACAAGTCAGGATGTTGGCCTTTTAAGTTCTTATATTAGTGTCCATGTTAATGTAATGAATTGAAGTCCAATTGTGTTACTTTGGATTTATACTAGTGTAACTAAGATCGGCACCTGTCACTCTTTTATTTTGCTTTGTGTCACAATCTTCGTTATTTAAACATGTTCCCTTTCTGCTAATTATGTTGTAAACCTACATCAGAGTAGGCCCACAGTGTAATGAGAGAATAATTTTAAAACTTTTTTAAAAAGTTTAATAGTGTGTTTCTTTGTAAACATATTCTTTTTTTCCCCTCTTTAGGCTGTAAGAAAACTTAATTCAATGCTTGATACCATGCCTCGAGAAGCGAGAAAAAAAATTATTTCCACGAAGGAAATGTTCCTTGTCATGTAATTAATTAATCTTTAATATACTTTTTACATGAATATATTGTTTACATAGTTGCGAAGAAAACTTTTTACACCTGACTATTTTATTGGATCCATTTATAACTGTACAAATGTAGGCTCTATTCAGTCCATGATTGCGTTCGTCACTACATAGCACATGGAGACTGCACTTTAGTCCATTCAGGTAATTCTTCCTTGGATGCTCAGATCTGCCCTTCTCTCAGTCATAGCTGAGTCCACCTCACCTGATTGTCCTAAAATAATTGGTTCTTGGGAATCACTTCTGAGGAGTCTTTACGAATGCACTGGTTGGAGGTAGATTGTTCATCCAGGGAAATGTCTTGAAAGGTCTGCATAGCCAAAAGAGAAATCTCCAGGCTTACAGGTCAGAAACATGGAACTGTCTTCCATGAAGAAAGATCCATGGAGTATGTGGAAAAAATATTGTGATTTCAGAGGAGTGGAATGTGGAAGATAGAAGGAGGCTACCAGCACCTTTTTCATATGAGTAGACTGTCTCCATGGGGAAGGATGATACTGCTATATAGGATCAGCTGGCACCCCCCAACACACTTGCCCTAGGTGGATTTGAAATGAGTGGCCCTTCATTTCTTCCCTCAACAACAGGTTTTCTTCTGGTTTCTGTTTTTTAAAAACATCTCAAGCATGTGGGACTTTTCCCAGTTTCCTCTGGTGGACATGGTGTTGGGGATTTACTCTGGCTCTAAAGTTTTTTTGCAGAGCCACAGTGGAGTGGCAGAGGAAGAAGTTTGGATTGCAAATCTAAATCTTCTACGCAATCCAGGTTCTTAAACAAAACAGAGGGTAACACCATATGTGGAGCGGGAAGCAGGAGGCATGGAGAATTCATTTCTGCGGTTCTTCACTACCACCCCCAAAGACAGAACAAAACAAATGCATCTAAAGGTCTTTCACATGCAATTAAGGATGCTTACTAAACATTTGGCCTGTAAATTCCTACATTTTAAAATTACTAATTTGTCTGGAGCCAAAAACACTGCTGTTTTATGGATGATATATTGGCCCCATTGAAGTCAATAGCAAAATTATCAGTGAGTTCAGTGGGACCAGGATTTCACTCCATATTTTGAAAGTTATTCTCTCTGATGCCAATATAAGCTTTTCTTATGTACTTTTACATTGCCATTTTATTTGAGTCAAATTGAATCATCTACATTATTTATTTCACAGGAATGATATGGGAAAGAGAATTTTAGATGCTGGAGGTAAGCACTTAAAAGGTTCATTATTAAACTGTTTAATTATTTTGATGTTATATACCCGTTAAAAAGACTGGCAATAAAAAAAGACAAGACTAGTAGTATTCAGTCATCTGAAAAATGTATTTTTCAGAACGGCAGTTAAAAATGGCACATGCAGGATTAATATACATTTAGAAATTTTAAAGCATTTGGAGTATTTTAGGCATTATTTATAATATAAATAATGCATAGCCAGGTCTATCAGTCCCTCCTGGCCTTCTCCACCATAGAAGTTCCAAAATGAATTGAAATAGTGCGGATCTTTGAGGACCATTATCTGCCAACACAGGTTAGAACAGACTTCTGGTAGACAGTAAGCTGGTATACAGCCACCTATCACCCTTTCACCTTCCATGTGTGTTGAGTGCTGTTCTGGTGCACCTGGGGATCTAGCCTGTAATACTTATTTTTGAATAGTAGTTTCTTTAGCAGCTTTATAGCTGTTTTTGTAGAACGTCACTGCATTATATGGTGGCATTTTATTTAATATCAATGTAAGAACATCTAAAATGTACTTTTAGTTTCTTTTTAAGTTGAAATAACTTCGTTTTTTTATATAAGACCTTATATTCAGCAATATTAGTATCTGTTTCCTACATATAAACTTTTAAGCTTGGCATTCTATTTAATTGTACTGTTTCTGTAAAATCTATGTTATAGACTATGACTTGCAAGTAGCCATTACTGAAGCTTTATGCAGAATGACATCAGAAAAACAAAGAGGAGAACTGGCACGCCAGTGGTTTTCTATGGCGTTTGTGACCAATGCATTTAAAGGAATTAAGGACTCTGAGTTTGAAACAGTAAGTCATATAAAAACACTAATTATTTTCAGAGAGAGAAAATGTTACATTACTTAAAGGTGCTCTGCTTCTTAATAGGACTGCAGAAAATTTCTTAACCAGGTGAACGGAATGCTTGGAGACAAAAGAAGGTAAATGAGTATTGCTAAAGGAAAGATGTTTTCAGGTTGGAATCGAATGGCTATTCAGAAAGAAAATGTCAGAAAAAAACCCTTTTTTTAATTAATTCTGAGCTACAATAATATTAGCAGAAGCACATGATGCTGCTCTGTTGCAAAAACAGCCAAGGTGCCATGCACAACTATAACATTTTAGAATCAATAAATAGCAAATATAATGAGAAATGCTGAAGGGTTTGGTGTATGTTCATTGTTGTTATCTTTTATAACTAGAGGCTGGGTTTATAAAATTCCCAAATGTGTGTTTATAAAAAGATAACTTCAAGTTAGGGTTGTGGGAATAACTATTTCGAGAAATACATACAAAGAGTATTACAGTTTTTAAAAATAACTAAGAAATAAGAAACAGAATTGTTCAGTTCTCTATCTTTGGTGCAAGATGAATGGAAACAATGTCATATATGCATTGTCTGCAATCACATTCTTCATGTCTCTACTGCAAGATCCTTAGACTCTCTAGTCCTGGAAGAAGGTGGCTCTCTTAGGTACTGTGGGTCAGATTATCACTGATTCCAATAGACCTACACCAATTTACATTAGCTGAGAATCTAGCTATGGGTATTTATCCCGTGATTCCTTTTTTTAGGGTATCTTTAGACTGAGATAATGCACTAGTCCAGGATGATACCTATTGGAGAGGTCAGACCTAGCAGAAGTGAAGAAATATATATATTTCAATATAATGTTGAGGGTACTCCACATGTCATTTTAGTCTTATGAGTTGGCAGGGTAGTTAAGTGATTGTGTGATAAGCACTCAGGTCAAGGGTTTATTCAGTTCTTATTTTAAAATTATTGCAGCCAAATTCTGTTTTTGCTTAAATTGTGAGGATGCATTGCGGAAAACTGGAAAATAGTTATATTTTTATAACTACCATATGCCGCTCAGTGCATCTTTGTCATATTACCCTGCATGAATGCATAGTTAGATGAAAGGAGTTGTTAAGGAAACCAGGCATGAAAGATAAAACAACGGCCTCAGTGAGGAGCTGCTCCTCAAATGCAATAGCCAGATTTATAGCTGTGAAGAGGGAATCTTCAGATCCGACTCTGGCAACTGGGCTGTTTTGTCAAGGCCAAGATCCTGGAAGATCAAAAGATCTGACCAGTAGAAAAGGTGCCACTGCAAGGGTCGGGGGCGTGGTCAGCATGCCATGAAGTTGACACAGAAAGTTTGTGCTGCAGGCTGGCAGAGACTGATTGTGAGCCAGGGTCATAGAACCTTAAAAATGTAGAGCTGGAAGGGACCTCAAGAGGTCATCTAGTCCACCTCCCTCCCTCCCCAAACAGAAAGCAGGTTACAATTTGATCTTCATGAGAACAGGAGACACCAAAGCTAAGTCATGTCTACTTAGGGGCTCAAGGGGAATGCCAAGCATGGACAAGGCAATATGTGTATAGGTCTCTTTGTTACTTTAATCCACTTCTCTAAGCATTGTGTACCTTTTGGCAAAAGAAATCATACTTTGTTTTGGAGAAGCTGCTTCTGTGTCACTACATAGTGTTGTTATCCAGAGGCTGCCAGAGGAAAACCCTTCGAGATGCCAAGCCCATTGGGCCAGCTAAGTAACATGGTTAGCAAACAGAGGCAGGATGTAACCCAAAGACTGTCAGAGAGTGGTTGGGCCATGGGGCCACATTCCAAAGAGAAGTGGAGGCACTAGCCTATCACTTAAAAGAGATGCATTTGGGGGACAGGGAAAGAAAGGTTCGCAGCAGCAGCAGCCTATCCAAGGACTGTGACATGTATAAATGTAATTTTTAATTTTTTTAGAGTGCAAGTTTTGAATAGTCAATCTTCCTGGACTGTCCCACTGATTGTTTTGAACTCTTTTTCTCTGAAGTAGAATTTTTTGGCAGAGGGGAGGGGAACTAATCCATTATTTTTATGTTGTTCTAGTCTAGGTATAAAGTAATGTAAATAATTTTGCAAAAAGATTTACTAGATATTTTTCTTATAGAGTTTTTACATATCCTTGTTTGTCAGCAATCCTTGATAAATATGAGGTACGTTACAACTTCATTGTGAATTGTATAGATTTTCCCTTAATACAACTGATGTATAGTTCTGTAAGTAGAGAACAATTCGGAATACATAGAGAGTAAAACAAAGATTAATTTAAAGTGCTATACAGACATCTTGTATGTATTTAAGGTTTGTTTAAATTACTTACTTTTGTGTTATAATACATTATTCTGAGAACCTCCTGTTCCTCCTAAGTTAATTTTTAAAATATATTTTAGCTACAGATACCTTTGGATGAAAATCTTGACGAATTTTGGATTGATTTTAATGTTGGTAGCCGAAGTATATCCTTCTATGTTGCAGCAGATGATGAAGTAAGCTAACTTTCCCTGACCATATGGAAAATTATTTCTTTTTCCAAACAAAACAATCAGCCTGAAAAGAGATGTTCTCAGCACTATTGTGAAATTGGAGAGTGAATTGCAAACCAGTACAGTTCATTTTAAAATAAGTACTAAGTGGAAATACATAGATGGTATCTCGCTTATTCTTAAAACATAAATATTAACAGAAAATGAATGGCAAGTACCAATTTACGGCATTATTCAACAAGGTTTTTACATACTTGGAAATTGTGGCCCACATTTTGTAATATGTTTATGCACACAATTTCCTGTGCAGTTCTATGCCTAAGTTGTTTGAAAATCTGTTCTTGTGTGTCCTCATTCAGATAGGCAGTGGCATTACTGGTCGTTCAGCCATAACACATCAGTTCAACTTCAGTTGGGATTCTTTCACTTGCTAAATCCCTTACATTTTTGTACACATCAGATGTGTACAATTTCAGAATAGTAAAAATTAAAGGCTTTTAAAACTAAGAATTTCCCTTCCGAATCTAATTTGCAGCTGTTCATTGCTGAATGAGGCATCAAATGTTCTGGTTTCATCTTTGGAAATGTCACTCACACTGTTGCCAGATATAAGTTCTTGTACTGGTGAGTCTGAGTGTTCAGATGTGAGAAATATCTTTCTTTTTATAGAATTTTAGTTTCTGCATTTCAGCTCCTTTAGAATACATTATTTCCATCCATTCCAGTTTGTTCTGAATTGATGGATTTGAAATCTCAATAAAAAAACTGTCACAAATGTCTTGATGTTCCAGGATGTTATAGTTAAAGAATAATTGTAATAATGCACGTTTACATTTAATTTATCATTTAATATGAGTTTTTATTTTCAAAACATCTTGTTTTTTGTTTGAGGATCATCAATGGGAAACAGTCAGCATACCTGAAGAAGAGGTAGAAATGTACAGTCTTGAAGGTATTGACACACATGAATGTATTCTTTTACTCCTGAATTATTCTGTCTGCCTAACTATAAATTAATTTTGTATTCTGAATTACTATGGATCAAATCCTAAAGTCCTTACTCAGTTCTTAAATGAGTAAAATTCTCATTGCTTTCAAGAACTTCAAATCCATGCATTTATATGGGTACTGATTTGTCGTTAGTTGCGCAGTTGCTCTGCAAAATTCATGCTTAATTTGCTTGTGCAGTTACCACAGCTGCATACATATTTTGGGTGACTGTCCACAAGTGGCTAATTATGATTTCTTTGCATAATTAATTATAATTATAAATGTTATAAAATTACTTATAAACATATTAAGGAAAAGCCCACAGCATGAAAGAGTGATGCATTATAAATTATAAAACTCTTTTGAATCCTGATTTATGAAATTATTGCAAAGTTTTGGAAAATATAATGGTATTGCAAGAATTTTATAGGGAGAATAAACTAACTTGTTCTGCTATTATAATTATTGTGAAAGTGAATATAAATATTAATTGGGCTTGATTTCTTGAGTGCCTTGTAGTCACTTAAACCTTTACAAAATGGGTGCAAAATATTATCAGATTGGAATTCTCTACTCATGTATAACATTGTCAGTATTTTACACCCATTTGTCATTTTACACAGGTGTTACCAGCTACACGAACTTCAAGACAGTGAATAATCTGGCCCTTTTTCCAGAACATTATAAAAAATGTAAAGAATTAAACCCTATTTTCTACAGTACTTATTAATTAGTCTGAAAACAGAGTAAATATCTTTTTAAATACATTTTTGAAGGTTAAAGTACTTTGTTAGAAAAATAACTATTTTTCATACAGTTGAACGAACGTTAAATTGTTTCATTTAAATATAATCCGGTTTAGTTTTGATTAGAGAGCAGCAGGTAGGCAAATTGAGAACGCTACATTTCAACTGAGTTTCATGTTCTTTCAATGCTAAACAAGAGGTGTTTGAAGCCTAATGAATGCTTCATCTTTATGCAGAAAAAGAGTCAAAGAAGTTACTAACAATAATTCTAAAAAATCCAGTAACTGTGGGTAATCAAGAAGGGGAGCAAATGTTCCTATATTTTGATCCTGTCTTGGAAATCATGGAAGTGGCCAGAAAGGTTTATGGTGCAAATAAATGTAAGGTAAGACTGAAATTTTCTTCCTCTTTCAGCATTTTCTGTCTAGCTGGGGAAAAAAAGATTCCACTGTGTATCTGTTATTTTAAAATGGCTTCTTTATTGATACTTATTATGTATTGAGATGCTTGCTAACATTTTCACAATAGATGCTCCAGCATTTCCATTGTAAGCTTTTCTGTTAAGGGTTAACATCTTTTAAAATATACTGCAATTGAATTTAATGGGCTATAATGGGAGTTTAATTGGAGATGCTAGAGGTTGAGATGAAGATTTATAGTATTGTGTGTCTGAAAAAATGTATGTGCAATTGGATGCATGCAAAGGCAGCGAATGCATTCACATGGACACTTTTAACTGTGTATTTACCACTGTTATGAGCACAACCCTAGTAATTGTGCATGCAAACTAGCTACTAGGTAGTGTCTTTTTGAACAGGGACCTTTTTCCATTCTATTAATCTGGGCCTGAATTAATGTAAAACCAAATAATTAGTTTAATTCAGAATGTAACAGGGCCTCCTTCTGACTCTTGTCTACAAATCACATAGAGACCCTTGTGCTGGTTCAACACCTTGTGCAGTTTATTTATAATTGAATCCCACCATACCTAGAGCCTTTACAAGCAGGGGGAGAGCAGTCTCTTTCTTCCCTTCACTACTTGCTTTCTTCCCTTTTCACTTCCTTTCTGTGTCTATTTGTGGGCTCTGGCTAATGGTTTAATTAGCCTTTCTGCCCTGCCCCATCCACAAATTAGGCACAGGTCTGCCTTGTCAACTCCAATCTGCTTTGCCTGATTGGAGCTGCTGTGAACGGAGTGCTGACTCTGGGTTTCATACCTAGCACTCTGTCACGCAGAAGCAATACAAACCTCTGTATTCAGTATGCCTCAGCTCAGTCTGATCTGGAGGTGCAAGTCTAGCTCACGCTCCAAGCCATTCAGTCTATGTCATCTTTACTAAATCATGATGATTATCTTTTTATTATGTGGACACCTATCTACTAGGAATTACACTACGATCTTCAATTTATTTCACGTAGGCTATAAAACAACAAAGAGATGGTAGCTACTTTTAGTCACTAATGCCCTAGATCTAATATCCTATGTTATGATATTTTCTCTTAGTCAGCCAGTCCTTTCCCCACTTCTAGGCATTTACAGCTTGGCCATAAGAGTTTGCTGTAGACTAAAACCAAATACACAAGCACTCCATCTGGAAGCAAATTTTTAAAGTAGGTCTCTTCTAAAAGTCTCCCCAACTGCCGAAACTTTTGGCTAAAAAAATGAATGAGGAACTGAGCTTCTTATTAATGAACAAAATGCCCATTATCTCCATTGATCAGGTTTAAAAAACCATAATCGACCACTTTTTGCGCCAGTGAGAGCTGGAGCTTTATTTTTCAGTATTGATTTTTTAAATTCATGCACACAGGGCAACAGTGGAATGGAATATTTCCAGAAATACCTGATTTATGAGGCAGTAGCAAAGCTGTTAATATTTACAGCATCCCAATCACAGGCACCGACTTTTCAAACTGCCAGGGGGTGCTCGACCCCTGGCTCTGCCCCAGGCCCCATCCCCACTCCACCCCTTCCTCCAAGGCCCCGCTCCACCTCTTCCTGCCCTCGCTCCACCCCCACCACGCCTCTTCCCACCCAGTTACGCCCCATCCCCGCTCCTCCCTCCTCCCTCCCAGCCACACTGCGAAACAGCTGATTGCAACAGGTGGGAGGCGCTGGAAGGAAGGGAAGGTCCTGATCCACGAGGCCCGCCGGCGGGTGGGAGGTGCTGGGGGGAGTTGATGGGGGGCTGCCACCTACCATTTTTTCCCTGTTGGCACCTATGATCTCAGTTACATGTTAACCTTGCCTAATCGGCTTCATAGGCTATACAGATTATTTAAATACATACAACAATTTGGAATCCCTGTGGTGAAATTTTTTTGTCCATTTTGCTTTTATTCTTTCTTAGATAAGAAAAGGCCTTTTTAAAGATTCCAGAGATTCCTTCTGAACTTCATTCTCATTCTTTTCATTGTCATGTATTTCAGTGTACCACATTTCTTACAAGTGAATGTGGACCAACATGCTTGCAATACAAATCCTGGACCATATTGTCCCATCCTTCTCTGCAGATGGAGGGAATGAAAGCAGTCAAATCCTGGTGCGGGGAGACTCAGTAGGAAACAGTGCTGCTTTGGTGGCTTTCTCTCAACCTTGCAAAAGTCCCTCTGTAGGATTTGGGATCCTTGAGTTGGGGAAGAGAAAGAATGGTACAACAGATGTTGTCTACGTCACCTCTCCCATAAAGTAGCGGGCTTTCTGTGAACATAATAGTGCATTCTTTAGCAGGACATTAATGAACCTCACCCGCCTCCATGATGCGGAACCTCCCATAAGGGGAATTCTAGTATCAGTGGCTTCCAGAGGAATCACTAACAGTACAACCACACCAGGAGAATTTGCTGCTAAGAAGCCAGAAGTTTCTGTGACCCAAACTCATTGTGGGACTCCACATAGATGGTCATGTGCCTCTGGATATCTTAAGATTTGCTGGTTTGAAGAACTTAACTCCCTATTACTTGTGTGGATTAGCAAACTGCTCTTCCCTAAGCGCCATCTGATGGAAGAATTCATAATAAACTCATCTGGTGCAAAGTTGAAGTCTTTTCCCGTATGTGGGAGTAACCTCAGTTGAGGATTATATAACCCTATTAACGTAATGTTTTATTTGTGATTCATATAAAAAGATGAGAAAGATTAGAAGGTAGAGCAAGTGTGTATTTTACATTAATTATTTGTGTTTTGTAGGGATTTACCAAGAAGCAAGCCACATCAGTTGCCAAAACATCAGTTCATATAATTTTTGATGAAAGTGGATCACAGGTATGTTACACAGTTCTGGTTGGGAAATTATTTTAATCATGAGGATTTTCAGACCCAAATCATGTGTCTTTTCAGGGGCCTTACACAGTTGAGAGAAGCTGCCATAAATGGTGCATTTTGTTAGATGGATTTCTCTGTTGGTTATAGCGATCATGATCCGACCTAAAGACATTTAACATGGTATTTCTCTTATGTTGATGTTCTCCAATAGCCAGCAATTCTCTTGATTATTAGCCAGTTTGGTTGTTATAAATCACTGTAAGAACAGAGGGGTTTTTAAGGCAGATAGTAAATGGTTGGAAAATAGATAACTAACATAACAAACTTTTTTTATTTTGTTTTCTTAAATAGAAATCTTGTATTTATTTTTTCAGAATGCTGCAGCAACATGCAAATCATAAAGCTGTTTAGACAAAATCTATGCAAAGAAAACACACTGAGTGGCTATGATAACAATGAGTACGATTCAGTAAACTATCCATACTCAGGATAGCACTTAGATGTTTTCCTAAATAGGAATGGACATAAGCACATGTTTTCCAGAATTGGAGCCACTAGACTTCCACACTCCTTAAATTTCCCACCAGTGGCAGCAATGGTGTGAGTTATGCTATAGACGGGGCTCCAAGAAGCTGCTGGCATTTTAACAACTAGGTTGTCTAACACTTTTATAGCTGGCCTATGCAAATATGGTGAGTACTACTGACACTAGTACTACTGACACTACTGACACTTACACTAGTGCATTGTTTGCAACGTTAGCAATACTGGAAAATTTTAGGAGAAAAATGTAATATAGACAAGGCCAAAATATACAGATGTAGTAAGGATGGGGGGAACTGTAGAGGAAGTCATTAAAACATTCTGAGTCAGGAACTTTGAAAGCAAACCAATCAGAGTAGAGTTTTTAGTGTCTCAATTCATTCTGTATTTTTCCCTTCACTTTTTTGTGCCACATTCCACATAAACCCCTACTCACCTTGCATGTAGGAATGCAGTCGTGAGAGAAGCTCCAGTGGTGGACCAGAGTCGCATACAAAAGATTGTAAACAGTGATTAACCCCACAGTATTAATTAGGGCCTGTTCTTGCAAACTCTTCCACTTGTCTAGTCATGCTGCATGTGAAAAGTTTAACTGATGTTAACAGGGCTACTATTTAAGTAAGGGTTTGTGGAATTGTGTGCTTTTTATTTATTTTAAAATAATATTAAACATTACATGTGATGTCATTTTCCCCAAAATACTGAGTAGGTTCTTGTACCAGAAAGTCAATTGTCACCTTGCTTGAAAGAAAAATCAGGAATGGAAGGGAAATCCAGTAAGTCTGTAAAACAACAACTTCCTGTACAACAAAGGAATTGGAATATAAAAACTAACCAAGAGAACTGCAAAAATATTCAATCTAAGGTAAGTAAGTTTATCAAAACAGAAAGAGTTTAGCATAAATAAAAATTAAATTAAATTCTTAGTTATAGAGCCATGACTAATATATTGTAGTTACACTGCAGTTCATACACTTCAAGGTTAGAAGCAAGTGTAATGATAATCTAGTCTGATCTCCTGCACCTTGAAGGTCACAGAACCTCACCCATCCACTCCTGTAATAGACTCCTAACCCCTGGGTGAGTTACTGAAAACCTCAAATCATGATTTAAAGGGTTCAAGTTAAAGAGAATCCACCATTTACTCTATTTTAAACCAGCAAGTGACCCATGCCCATGCTGTAGAGGAAGGCAAAATAAAACCCCAGGGTTTTTGTCAATCTGACCTGGAGGAAAATTCCTTCCCGACCCTAAATATGGTGATCAGTTAGACCCTGAGCATATTGGCAAGACCCACCAGCTGGACACCTGGGAAGGAATTCAGTGTAGTAACTCAGAGCCCTCCCCATCTAGCGTCCAATCTCCAGTCATTAGGGATATTTGCTACTAGCAGTTGCAGAATGGCTATGTGCCACTGTAGGCAACCTCATCATTCCATCCCCTCCATAAATTTATCAAGCTGAGTCTCGAAACCAGTTAGGTTTTTTGCCCTCACTGCTCCCCTTTGAAGGCTGTTCCAGAACTTCACTCCTCTGATAGTTAGAAACCTTCATCTAATTTCAAGCCTAAACTTGTTGATGCCAGTTTATGTTCATTTGTTCTCATGCCAACATTGGTACTTAACTTAATACTAATTATCACTAAGCTATATAATTGAAGGTTAACCATCTTTCTGAATTTTTAGCTTTTTGGTTTAAAAATTAATACAATAGAAAATGTTATTTTTAAATAGGTCCCTTGCAATTCTGAGAAGAATCTTTAGATTTTTTTCTTAATTTTTTTAACATATTTGCGTATCCTGTGGTAGATGGAAGTTTAAGTATATTTTAACCCCTTGCTGGCCTGTTAATAACCTTCAATATTTACATTTCTCCCTAGAGTAAGGTTTCTCTCTCTCACACATACATTTGTGCATGCATACACCCACACACAGAGTGCAGCTCTAGGTGAGCATGTGAGAAGCCTGTAAAGAGGATCTGCAGCCCTTGTGTATGCAAAGCACAACCCTGTGTGGATCTTCCTGTGCATAGGGGATACTGTAAGCTGGGCCATGGGAGGAACAGAATGAGTGAATCTCTGAGTACATCGGTCCACTAGTCATTATTCCACCCAGTGGTTCTGCAGCCTTAAAGTTACAAATATAGCAACTGAGTGGCTCTACTGCTGCATCATAGCCTACTTGATGGATTCTGACACCAGTGGAACTCCTTGTAATCATCCAGTTACTTGTGCTATGTATTGAGAAAAGGATTTGTCCCTTGCTGAATTACTTCATAAAATCCCAACTCCTGATCTCAGTTACAAATTACATGCTAATTAAAACTCATTATTTTATGTCACATTATTCTCTAGTATTTGAGAAGTAAAACTTTAAACATTGCCATCAGCACAGGGTGCAAAAATTGAGGTACTGATAGTTAAAATATTGACTGACTTCAAGAAATATAAAAAACCCCATGGTGTCCTAAGCTGTGGTATTAAAATGAATTGGGTTTTTTTTTATGCATTTCAAGATTACTACACCTACTAAAAGGAAAGTGTCTGAAGCATCAGTGATTGTCCCAGGTACTGGTAGACTGCCTCTGAGGAGCCCATTGGTATTTGTCAATTCGTGTAAGTTGATATTTATTTTTAATGTTAAAAATATGTTTAAAATAATTTTTGTACTTTACTTGTAATTTAAAGTAATTTATTTACCCAAGGCATTATGTACTGGTAGTTAACACTTCCTATAGAAAAACTTGCATTATGTTACCACAATCAGGCATGAACTATGATATGTTTGCGAAGATGGAAACAAGGCTAAAATGTTATTCATGAGATCTCCCCAGCAAATGCTTAATCCTTAAGTTTCTATGCCATACTACTCACAGACCTGAAGAGATTCTGAAGTGAAAATTGTAAGGAACTCTTCCACCTTCATTGGCATATTAAGTATCATTTTCAGGAAACTCAAATATAAATAAGTGGCATTTCATAAAGATATTTGGCAGCATTCTCAGGAATCACAATGTGTACAATGTCTACAGCAATCACAGTGAATCACATTTTTACACTCATCAACCAAACTTTACTCTTGTCTTCTTGACAAAGCACATCACCAGCTTTGTGAGAGTCATTCAGCAGCACCTTTTCCCTAGCATTTTGTGTGTCTCTTCAAGAACAATCTGACTATCTTGCTGACTGATGAGGTGCGGGAGCACTGCAGTTCTGGGCAGAAGAAACCAGGTCTAGAAGTGCTTATATTCTCTTCACAAGAGAATCACTGATTGAGGAGGAAGTGGGGGAGAACCTTTCCCTTGTCACTCCTGGCTCACCTCCAGGATCTACCATCTTCCCACTGGCAAACCCACTAGCAGTCTCCCATCACTTGCTCCTTTCCCTTTACACAGAAGCTGCATAGGAGAAAGGTCCGTAAGAGCTCAAATGTGACAGGAGAGGAACTGGTGATTGAGGAACATTCATTGACTTAGCTTTCTCACAGAATCCCCTCAAATGCACAGTATCCTCATACTATGTATAACATACAAAGCTAAGCTAAAAGAATAATGAAGTTGCAAAGCCAAGCTTTCAAAAGTTAGGAAATGCCAGAATTAAATGCCTATGCTACCTTTGGTTGACTCATCTGTGCAGAAGCATTATGATACAGACTTGAAATTACATGATCACATACTCTCTTTCAGAGGACTCATGCCTCTTTCAGTACACAAAATCCCTATCTTCTTATCCAGTAGTGTAGCTTCCTTAATTTCACTGGCAGTATTTTTGATTTTCACTTGTGTGATATCAGAATTAGGCTAAAATTGTTTAAAACTTTATTAAATGAATATAGTGATGAGAAACAGCCTTTAAATGTTGCAATGCCACTGGGATTGCAATAATTTTAATGTACAAAAGTAAAATTAACAAGTCTCTGGTTTGTTTTCAGCAACTCCCCGAAAGGCCCGCTTTAAACTGCCGTTGCAAATGATGAGCTCTTCTGAAAAAAATAACATTACCAGAATAACTGAGAGTGGAATAAATAATTTAGATCTAGAAAATACTGGACCACATATATCTTCTATAGCTGACTCACTTAAAAGGCGTAATGTTGCTGCAGAAAAAGTAAGTTTTTTTTAGAAAAGAATAATCCATTTTCATCTTTTCTTTTCTTCATAATACTTATTAGTCTCATCCAGTTTTTTGCTGAAACAAAAGTGGTCTTGTAGATCTCCATTATTTTTTTCTAATAAATCCTTTTTTTTCTCTAAATCCTGCCTTGTTTCAGATTCAAGCTTTCAGCTGGCTAAAACTGAGCAGTACTCCTACTGGCAAACAAGGATACCTATACAATTATGTTTGCAGTTTTATCTGTATTGGTCCCAGGATATTAGAGAAACAAGATGCGTGAGGTAATACCTCACCCACCTTGCATCTGTAAAATTATTCTAAGATCTGCATTTTATCCCTTAAGGCTGACCATACCTACTCTCACCCTCTGGCAAACTTGCTTTTTCCTGTCCCATCCTCATACACGATCTGTCAATTTTTTTATCCATTGGAATCTCCAGTTCACTCAGCGTAATAGTCCCCATATGCTATAGTGTTCAAGGGTTAATGAGCTTTTTTGGACTAATAGGATAGTTTTACATTATTGACATTTAATACGGAAAACATTTACATGCATTAATTTTTAAATTGCAAAACAGACTTTCTTTGAAGTGATCACTTTTTTACTGCAAAGTTTAAAGGACAATGCGAATCTAAAGAAATGGAGAAGATAAAGATGTGGCCTATTTATATCCAGCCTCTACCTCTGCAATGCTATCAAAACACAACAACCAAATATTTTTAGTGCCAAATTTTTAGACCGTTTAATTGTCCGATTGTGTTTCTACTTTGTGAACACAATTACTACAGATGTTTGGGCAAATCAGGTAGTTGCACAATCAAATGGATTAGGCTTGTTTCTATACACAATCCCTGAGTTTGCATGAGCATATTTTGTGCATTAATTGAGTTGTGCACCTAATTCTCTGGAAAACCATCCCTTGAACTGTTCAACTTTATTAAAACTCCACTGTCATTATGAAATATTTTAAGGAACAAACAGTAGCATCATCTACATCTGTGAAATGACATTGTCTTCATATGGTATCATTGACATTTCTGCAAACTGATGGCCTGACCCAAAGCCCATTGAAGTCAATGGAAGCACTCCTGTTTACTTCATTGTGCTTTGGATCAGACCCTCAAACTAAAGGTTAATGGGGTTGCACAGATGTAACTGAGTATTTAACCTGAAGATACTGGTTTTGCACTGGTGTAGCTACAGGTATAATTTGCCCTAAAGAACCTCTCGTACTGCTGTGAGATGAAAATATCTGTTTGACTGACTGTCAGAACCATGTTGAGTTTGTGGGGCTTGAAAAAAACATCTTGTTACTTCAATTTGAGCAAATGTCATAGAAATTCCTGAGACACAATGAATATGTAAAAATGATATTTTGGGATTCCAAAACAATTTTTCAGGGTAGAACCACACTGTCTGAAAAACATTTTGTAAGAGTCAGAAAAATAGTTTTCCAAAACTTATTCTTTAATAGTAAAATTACTTCCTTACTTAACATTACTGACTTCTGCTTTTTAGGGTAGAGATGGCTCTGTTCTAGACGATGTATTTTGTGAGACTCAGCAGAATACCAGCAAAACAAGAATCAGAAATGAGGCAAAACTATCTGAAAAGGTTTTGGGAGTCATTATTTTCTAACATTAAAAAAACTTCTATTCTAAATAAAATGTATTTTTGTATGTAACAATGTATATCTCCACGCCAATATATTCTTTGTAATTTTTCAGCAGCATATGTCAGCTGAAAAAGTTTTGGAAATGATACAAAATGAGGCAGACAGTGAGACCAGCCAAAAACAAACACTACGTAAGTATTTCTGCAAATTTTGACAATACTATTTTTAAATTATTCTGTTTTCATATTTTTACAAAAGAAAGAGAAAATTAATTTTTAATATCAAATTTAATATATGTTTCATTTAGATGAACTATTAGATATTGTTCCTGATTCTCAGCCAGTAGGCAGAAATGACAAACCTTTGTAAGTATTAAAAAAAATCCTAAATAACTATTTGTTTTATCTTAAAAAAAAAAAAAAAAGCTATATGTGCAAGTATTGCCAGAGTGTTTCTGAGATTTTGATAATGATCTCCAGAGATCTTCCAGCTCTACATTTTTATGATATTAACATTAATTAATCAGCAGTGTTTTTATTTGTAAACCTGTTACATTTAGCAATAATGACCAAATTTCTGCAATTTAGTGTAAATAAAATAGGATTATTTTTGTAGATTGCCTGGTCTTTTGGAAAGTTCTGCTGATGAAAATAAAATCTGGAAAAAACAGGCATGCTCTGTACCTGAGAAGCTTATAACAAAGTGTGACAAGCAGAAGAGAAGTACATCATCAGGACATACATTCCAACAAGGTTAAGCTTATGCCCTGTTAGTAATAAGTATTTATGAATGGCAAATTAAGTTTTTTATATTCAAACTTTTTTTTACAAGTTTTTATCTTAAAAAGATTTTATTTTTTGTTTGCATTAGTTCCTGGTCTCAGTGAAAGAGCTGCCAAACAAAAAGCTTTCTATTCAATCTTTGAAAGTACTTCTCCAAAACAACAAGCTCAGAATAGAAAAATATCAAAGAAGCAACAAAATGAAACTGAAAAACCAGAAGAAAACTGCATAAGACACAGAGGACAAACGCTAAACAGTTCTAACCATTTAGAACAGAAAATACTAAGTACAGAGGCAAAAGAAGTTCCCACCACACCCAAAACATCTTTTAATTCAGTTTATCCAACTAAAATGACTGAAAAATCTCTGGGATATTCAACGAAATTAGTGTTGGCCAGAAATTCTAAGGAAGAAGTTGATGTTTCTCTTAGAAAAGGGACTACAAATCATAAAAAATCTGAGACGGTGATAGACTCTCATCTTGGTTCCTCCGACTTAGCAGTAAAGGGAATGGTATAGTTTCAGTGTTCTCTCTACCATATTTTCAATATTTTAATATAGCCTCAATAGCATATTTTTAATTCTACTTATTTCTAAATTTGTTCATCATTTGGTTTACACTAATGCAGATGAATAAGGGTTCTACCATATTTTCAAATGTAACTCATTTGTATATGTTTTGTGCTGAAAATTTAAAATATTAATCTATTTTTATTTCAGGGGGTTCCTTTTGTTTAAAAATATGAACCAGTCCTTTGTTCTGGTGGCACTTGTGACTGTTAGAATTTAAATCAAGATCCCTGATGAAACATCCCAGTGCAAGCCCAACCCTATTTAAATATTGGGTCAGAGACAGGATTTTAAATTCTGTCCATTAAATGTAGCTGGTTTACTGATAAAAATGTCCAGATTGTTGCCACTTGCATCGAAAGCTGTGGTCATTTTGTGGGGAAATTTCTGTGAAGGCTTCCTTATATTGTTCAAGTAGAGGGGTGTGATTTTCTTCCTGTGGAAAAGCTGCCCTCAAGCCTGATGAATCCTGAGGGATCCATGGGTGTCAAGTGCCAACTACTTGGAGTCTTTGTACCCAAACTTCAGCTCTGCCCTTTTATTGTACAAAGTTTACTGTCAAAGTTAACAGGTTATTTACAAAGTCTGTTGTTACAGAAAGCAAAATCTAAAGAAATGGCTGAACCAATAGAATCAATAATAAGTAAAATCAGTGACAGATATAAACAAAAGGATGATATCGAACATGCAAGAAAAGCAAGAGATTTTTTAGCTAATAACAGGTATGGTATAAATTGTTTTCTTATAATATTTGAACAGCTTGATTGTGACTTACTTCCTTGTGCACTTGCAAAGAAGGAAGAGCACATAAAGCCCCTATGCAGCCTAGTTGGGTTTATCCAGATCATAAATCTGTGTGAGAAGGTGTAGGACAAGCTCAGCTAGGCTGCTACTCCCAGTTTGAGTAAGGATTTTGAAGCGAGTCTCCCAGCCCAGGTTGATAGACTTGGGCTCGCTTTAGGGCTCTAAAAATAGCTGTATAGACCGCGTCTGAGCTCCAGCCTAAGCTACAACTTTAAAGTGCTGCCTGTACTTCTATTTTTAGAGCACTAGCAGAGGAACTCTGATGCTCAGAGTTCCTTTAAAGACTACAATAATTTGGTTGTATGTAAATTTAATCACATAAATGTGTGATCTTTAGAGATGCTTAATCCCTGCATCTTCGATTGACTTCGTGGGAGCAGTTGTTGCTCAGCACCTTTGAGAATCAGGTCATAAAGCACAATTTAAATAATTTTTATATTTATCTAATTGTGAACAAATGCATCAATATATGTTGTAAAATTGGTTATGAAAATTATTTTGAAAAATGAAAACAGTAAAACAAAATAACTTGAGATTATGCTTATATCATAACTCATGATATTTGGCAGTTATGGGTTTGTAACTTAGTTCATTCTAAGTACTATTTGTTTGCAGGCAGTTCCTGCCCTGCTCTCCCTGGAATTGGTTCTCTTCTGCTAGGCAGAAATGGAGAATGCTAGAGGCTCCAACAAAAGTGGAAGGAATTTTGGGGGTTGGAATGTATAGTCACTGGTTCTGTGACTACGCAGATTTTCAGCACTAGCTATCCCAGTATGTTAGTGATGCAGATGTTGCCTGGGGATGAAGAATTCTGGGACACATTTTTCACCAGTGTAAATGGGTGTAGCTCCCCACTACTGTATCAGTTTACACTTGCAGAGAACTGGGCCCTTTGTTTCTAGTTCAGCAAACCTACACAAAGAGCAGTGACTTGGGGTAAAATTTTTAAGAGCCTAATACACTGAAATCAATGAGAGTCTGGCACCTAGCTGTGTCTGAAAATCCCTCTAGGCCCCTATGTATATCTAGGCACTGAAATACCTTTAAAAATCTCACACTTAGGCTCCATGAAAATGTCACTCTTAGGCTCCTAAACCACTTAGTTTAAAAATTTCATCCAAAGCATTGAAAGTCAATGGGACTTTAACCATTATGGTCTAATTCACTTTTGAAAATGAGACTCAGTCTTAAGTCACTTAGGCTCTTTTCATAATTTTACCTTTTGAGTTTTGTACAGTAATGAGAATTTGGGCCTATTGGGAAAAAAATTGAAATTGCCTGGATTTGGCTAATAATTGTGCAGTTTATTTGTAGACTACATCCTAAGTTACTAGAATTTTAAGACATATTTTTACTATATAAAGTCACATGTTATCTTAGAATCTGTTATTGAAGAACTCTGATACACTGTACAAGCAAATATTTTCTTATCTCGTTATGGTTTTCATTTATATTAGTAAAGTACATTTTTGGTATGCATTTGATGGTTTTTGATTTTTTTTTTTTAGGTCATGTTTAAATAAGTCTGGTTTCAAAGTCAATAAGGTATGTTTACTGTTGGTTTTTTTACATAGAAATTTCATCTGAAAGTTGATGTAATCTACTAGAATCTACGATAAAATCTTGTTTATCATAGCACTTTTCAGACTTGAAATATCCCAATGTCCTTTAGAAAGCAATGCGGTATAAAATGATATAAAAATATGGCAGTTTGTAGATGCTCCGCAATAGTTCACTAGCATTCCTGAATATGAAATCTCTCTTCTTTAAAAAGGACTGTTTGCCAAGTCACAGGGTTTATTCCCAGTCATTTTTAAAAATGATAATGGACTATTTAATTTGCATCTCCATCTGTATATCCAAGAGTGACAGGCTTATGGGACCATAATTTTAACATCACATCCAAAACTGGTACATTGCAGCACCTACCCACCTTATTTCTTCACAGAAGTGTCAGTTCATGTGTTGGTGTGTTTTTATAGCTATTCAATAACGCTTAATATGATTCCTTAATAGTACCACCTATAACAGAGGTGGGCAAAATACAGCCCACGGGCCACATCCGGCCCACGGGGCCATCCTGGCCAGCCCCTGCGCTCCTGGCTGGCCCTGGTCCCTTCCCTGCTGTTCCCCCTCCCCCTCAGCTCGCTGTGCCGGCAGCATGGCTGGCTCTGGCTGGGCGGCGTGGCTCAGGGGCAGATTTGCCAATGAACACAGGGTGCCCTAGCACGGGCCCCCCCATCAACAGGGGGACCCAGGACCGGGCACTCAGGCAGCTCAGCACCGGCGCACCCCCTGCAGGGGGGCGGGGCTGCACTGTGGGGCAGGGGAGCAGGTGTGCGGTGCCGGTGGTGGGAACGCAGGCAGAGGACTCAGGAGGAGCACTGGGTGGCTGCGCAGCCGGCTGGAGAGAAGCGGCGCTTTGAAGGGGAAACCGCTGCTTCTTTCCAGCTGCGTGGCTGCCCCTGCTCCTCCTGAGTCCTCCGCCCATGTTCGCAGGGCCACAGGGGCTGGGAAGGGGAGGTAAATAAGGAGGGTCCCAGGGGGGCGGTTGGGGCAGGGGGTCCCAGGAGGGGGCGGTCAGGAGACAGGGAGCAGAGGGGGTTGGATAGGGAATAGGGTTCCGGGGGACAGTTAGGGGCGGGGTTCCCTGGAGGGGGTTGTCAGGTGACAAGGAGCAGGGGTGGGGTTGATGGGTCGGGGGTTCTGAGAGGCAATCAGGGGGTGGGGGGCAGGCTGTGGGGGCACAGCCTTCCCAACTCTGCCCTCCCATACCGTTTCGCAATCCCGATGTGGCCCTCCGGGCAAAAAGTTTGCCCACACCTGACCTATAATAATAGTGACTGATGCTTATATAACACCTATCAACTGGAATTCTCAAAATTCATGACAGATTTTACAAACTAATTTCATGGCAAACTGAGGTGTGAATCTATCCCACGGTAGTCTGCTGTACACTAATTGTCTGTGTCCCTGCAGATGTGCACTAAAAGTTCTTCAAGTGCTTGTTCATGTCGATTCCAATCAGGTGTGTGAGCGCATACACGCGCCTGGTAGCCAGAAGATTTTTCCCATAGCCCCATCCTTCAGGTCGGTCCGGGCATTCCCTGGAGTCGCACTTTCATGGCGCTCAATTTAGAGCCCTACTGACCCCCAAGTGCAGTCAAGAGGGAAGCTGGCCATGATGTCCAGGTATTCCCCCTCTCCACAACCTTCGGCACCAGTCCACTCGGACAGAGAGCCTAGTCGCTCCCCAAACTCTTGATGCTCGAGGCACCAAAGCTCAGCTCCTCCATGGTCTTCAATCTCGGAGACCTCAGAGTCTGACTTCTACCGCTTTCGGAGGAGTAGGAGCTGACGATCGAGTTCAAGGCGAGATAGACTAGCTCGCCTCGGTGCCTATCCAGACGCTAATGCCATTGGCTGCAGCACCATCACCGGCACTGGTGACTCTTTCGACCTCGGCGCCGACAGCATTTTCGGCACTGATGATGACCTCGGCACCGACAGCGGCACGGATAACGGCCTGGCCACCTTTGTCGGCTCAGGCAGCTGGTTCAGCACCGGCTCCACCGGCAGTACCATCAGTGTCTCCAGTGCCCGTTCCAACACAGAGTTCGGCATTGATAGCCCTGACCCCAACGGGTGCTCCATCAGCACCAACGTTCTCTCGAGACCCCCCAAGAGTCGCAGGACCCTTTGGGAGCTGATGGCAGGGAGCATCCGCTGCTTATAGGGACTTCCTCCTCCTCGTCTGCAGACGAGGCATTGGCAGGCATAGCCATAGCCCCAGCACTTGAGGACAAAAGGGTGCTACATCAGTTGCTGCGAAGGGCTGCTTAAGATTTGGCCATTAAGACTGAAGAGGTGGTTGAGGAGGCTGATCCCATGGTGGATATCCTTGCCCCCTCAGGTCCTTCTCGTATTGCCCTACCACTTAAGACTATTGTGGATATTACCAAGACCTTGTGGTAGACCCCAGCTTCCTTGCCACCCACTGCCAAGCGCAACGAGAGACGTTTTTTCGTGCCCTCCAAGGAGTACAAACTTTTTTCCTCCTCCCACCTCCCAACTCTCTTGTTGTGGACGCTGCTAATCAGCGTGGGTGGCAGGGTTTCTAGGAGCCCTCCCTTAAAAACAGGGAGGCTAAGCAACTCGACCTTGTCAGGAGAAAGGTCTACTCTACAGGGGGTCTTCAGGTCTATATTTTGAACCAGCAGGCCATCATCAGCAGGTATTCTTATAACACCTGCTAACCTTATGGTCAGCTGGTTCTTAAAAGGGCTCGACAGACTATACCCTAACGTCAGTCAGTGTGTCCCTGCCTGGGACCTCAACCTGGTCCTTTCTAGGCTCATGGGACCTCCCTTTCAACCATCAGCAACATGCTTCCTGCTCTACCTCTCTTACAAGGTAGTGTTCCTGGTAACAATAACCTTGGCCAAGAGAGTGTCTGAGCTCAGGGCCCTAACATCAGAGCCTCCCTACACCATGTTCTATAAGGACAAGCTTCAGCTCAGGCCCCACCCGGCTTTCCTCCCGAAGGTTATGTCGCATTTCACATCAACCAGGACCTCTTTCTCCCAACATTCTACCCTAAGCCTCATTCCAGTGGCAGGAAGCAGAGGCTCTACTCTCTGGAGGTCCACAGGGCACTAGCTTTTTACATTGAGAAAACGAAACCGTTCAGAAAATCGGTCCAGTTATTCGTGTCAGTGGTGGACAGAATGAAAGGTCAGCCTGTGTCGTCACAATGCATCTCGTCATGAATAGCATCCTGTATTCATGAGTGCTACAATCTGGCAGTTGTTCCTGCACCTCCAATCACTATGCACTCCACCAGGGCGCAGGCTTCATCAACAGCGTTCCTCGCTCAGGTTCCCACTCAGGAAATCTGCAGGGTGGCGACGTGGTCCTCCATACATACTTTCGCCACACACTACGCGATTACCCAGCAGGCCAGAGACGATGCGGCCTTTGGACAAGCAGTGCTTCAATCAGTGGAAGACTCCGACCTCACCACCTAAACTTGGGCTTGTGATTCACCTGATTGGAGTTGACTTGAACAAGCACTTGAAGAAGAAAAACGGTTACTCACCTTCTCATAACTGTTGTTCTTCCAATACCCATCCTCCTTCCCCTCTGTTGGAGTAGCCGACAAGAAGGAACTGAGGGGGTGGCTGGTCAACAGGGCTCTATATTGAGCGCCATGAAGGCGCGACTCCAGACCAGACCACCCCAACAGATGTGGCTATGGGAAAATCTTCCGGCTCCCGAGCACATGCGTGGGCACACACCTGATTGGAATGGACATGAACAACACATCTCAAAGAACAACAGTTACAAGAAGGTGAGTAACCATTTTTTTCCTTAGTGTGCTTTGATCTACCTTTTGATGTTCACATCCTTTTGATCTACCTGTTTTGAAAAGGGAGTGATCAAAGCTCACTAAGGAATGATTAGTGTGCATCAGTAGGGTCTTCATGGACAGTTAGTATGCAGCAGGCTAGTGTGGGGTAGATTCACACCCTTCTTGATGTGAACTAAATGTTCATGTAGACAAGCCCTTACCACATAGCATATAACGGGATCATTTAATTTATGACTGAAGTTCATTCTTCCACGATATGCATAGCAACACTATACAGCAATTTAAAAGATACATTTAAGAATACTTTATCCAGATCAAAATATATGAGAATAAGTAGGAAATCACATTACTCAAATGGAATTGGTGCTTGGTACAGAAACCAACACTGTTATTTTTGGAATAAGTACCATGAGATTTTTAAGGGCCACAGATGATGATTTTACATCTAAAAATATTTCACCTCCAGCAACCTTGACGCCTAATACCATATTTGAATATTGCAAGTTAAGCGAGATTTAGAGTCAAAAGCAACTAATTTATCACCCATGCTTCTGTTAAATAACTTGCTGATGTATTGATGACTATAGATGAACATGTTTTGAATATTAGACCTGTGTAACTCTTCTTGTATGTATAGGAAAAAGTTCAGAATAGAAGCTGTAGAAATGTAAAAACTAGAGCTGTGCTTAATATGACTACAGGACATATTGTGTAAGTATCTAGAAATTTTGTCTGAAAATGTTTTAATATCCAATTATATTAAGAATATTCCTTGATTCACTAACTAAAGCTTTATTTGTATCTGTTTTGACAGGGATGATGTTTACAATTTTAACTTAAGTGGATTTGATGAACCTACGATAAAGCTTGGAGTAAGATTCCAGTAGTCTACATTAATGCAAACTAGGAACCTTTTAGTTCGTGCCCGCAGCATTCACACACGGGAGTTACAGCGCAGCACTGTGGCGTGCACTGCTGTTCACATCCTTGTAGTCCCAATTGTAGGGCAATGTAGACAAGTCCTGAGAAAGACTCACCTCCGAATACCTAATAGCACAGTGGTTAGGGCACTCACATAAAAAGTGGAAGACATGGGTTCAAGTCTTTGCTCCACATTAGGCAAATGTAGGAAATTGAACCTAGGTCTCCCACATCACGGGTGAATGCTTTTTAAACAATGGGCTGAAAGTTATAAGGGGGAGCACCACCTCCTCCTCTGTATATATTTTATGGGTTTAGACATGCTCTAAGCCTTTTGAAAGGGAGAAGAGTGGAAATTCATGGAAACTAGCTCTCGGTGCCATGAAATCTGGCAGATCCATCCTCTAGCTTTTCCACTCTGCTATCAGCTCTGTCTTTACCAGAAATGATGATGTAGTTGCATACTTTTCTAAGTACCAATTGGAGAATACGGGCCAATTTATAACTGCATATAAAAATAGTAACATTATTTATGTGAAATCTGGGAAGTTTGCATTAAAATATTCAAAGAGAAGATGTGAAATATTCTTTAATGTGTAAATTGACCATTGTAAATTATTGCAAACAAGAAATTTTGTATTTGGAGTAAAAAAGGCTTAGTGTTACTCTTTGCATGAATAACTAATGTATTTTATATATATCATGTAAGATACATTTGCAATTATTTCTCATTTATTTGTACTTATATTTTAGGTCCAAGAATTACATGTTACTAACCTGAAAGCTAGTACAAATCTGACAGAAAAAAAGTAAGACTGTTACATTGTATTATTATAATCTTAAAAAAAAATATTTTTTCCTTAAGGATGGTATTAATGAATAGTTTTGTTTGCATTCTCCAACGTCCCCCTATGCCAATCAAGATAGCAGGTGCAAGTCCTTCTAATAGATATAAACCGGAAAAAAACACTCTTGACTCACTTTCCCTGTAAAGTGGGCTGGCATAACTTCATCATTTATTTTCCTTTCTTCGGCAAGTAAAGGCAGCTCCAATGGCTTCCTCCGCTGCCTTTTTTTTTTTGTGGGTTTTTTTTTTTTTTTTTTTTTTTTTTTTAACTGTTTTCCTTTGGCAAATTTCTCCCTAAGCCTTTCATTTTCATCAGATTAGTTTAATGTGTGGTATTTACTAATGAAGAGAGCTTCCTCATGGAGCGCTCTGGGGAGGCAACCTAATGGTTGCAGTATGTCTAGTTGTTGTTGTGTGTCCCTGTTTGCCTGAAACTAAGAGGCTGCCATGTCAGATTTGAAAGTGAACTGTGGTCTCCAAACTTGCTAAAAAGAGATCAAGTGCATGTGCCTCATAATTCCCCTCCCACACACATACATACCAATAGCAGAAAGATGACAATAACCCCAGCAGATGTCTTCAGCTATGGATGTATTTAGTAATGTAAATATCTTTGTTTAAGGAATCCTGATGAAAGCAAAAGTACCATCCAGAAAAAAGTAGATAATAAAGTAAGTTTCTTAAACTCAGGGAAACTGATATTAAAAAGACCAGATTTTCAGTATGGAAAATAACAATTCTTTTTCCTTAAAATGATACAAAGAATTATAAAATCTGTAAGCCATCTTTCCACTCACATGGTCCTTTACTTGAATGGAGGTGGAACTGCCCCTTGACATAATTTAAAGCAGCCGGAAGTTATTGAATTTAATACTGTGAAAACTCTTGTAAAGATAGGCCTTTAGATTTGACTTTTGTAACTCAAATGCTTCTTATCTCTAGAAATACCACATTTAGGTAAAAATTTTATTATAAATCTAAACAGAAATAAATGACCTTTAACCATTTTTGTTTGTTTTATAGAATAGAACTAATAAAAATAAGAAGCATCTCTTTAGTGACACTGACACAGAATACAGAGGTGATGACAGCAAGACAGATATCAGTTGGCTACGAGAGTCTAACAGAAAACCTAAACCCCAACTAATAGACTACAGCAGAACTAAAAATCTGAAGAAATCTAAAAGTATAGAAGCAAGTAAGAAACTAATTGTTGAACATTTAGGGACTGCATTTCACTTACCTGTAAATAGTTTTTAAATTATTTAATTATATTTGCTATGCATAATATATGTTGCGTGCAGTGTGTCTCAGTTTATGGTAACTGCACCTGTGGTCCCGTGAGGGCAACCAGTCTAGGTTCCCAGCTCCTCAGCCATCACCTCTCTTGGGCAGAGACCGACAGTTTCTCCTTCCTGACCAAGGGATCTTTAAAGACTGCACAGTTCCCAGCCTACACTGTGATATTCCAGCAGTCCAGCCTACCTGAAAAGCCAGCGTCTGCACTATGCTTTCTCTCTATAGTCTCTGCCCAGTGTTTTGCCTGTAGTTATAAGTTACCACACAGCTCTTTATAAGCAAGCACATTCATTCTTCAGGTGAAAGCATTACAGAGAAAACATATTTAAAAACAATAAAAGAAATACACGCATGCTAAAAAACTTACTAGAGATTATCCAACTCCAACCTTGGGCTCTGGTGGGTGCCAGTCCTTAAAATCCACAACTGTGTTTTCCTGTGATTATAAGTACATAATTTGTCTCAGATTCCGAACCAGAACAATCATGAATAGTTCTGTCATTCCTTTCTACAGCTTTGGCTTTTGACCTTGCATAACTAGAGGTGGATAGTTTGCATTCACCTCTCCTTAAATTCCTCCAGAAAAACCACTTAACATTTTTTGTTCCAGAAGTTCATTCTTGTCTGGCACCTTGTTTAAGATAATCCTTTGAACCTCCGAGTCTCACATCTGTCATCTCTCCCAACTTGAGAGGTTACATATAGTCCTAGCCCACAATAATGCATGAAATACAATAGACTTCACACACATTTAAACTTCTCCTGAAGATATGGCAGGAAATTGCCATATCTATCACACAGTTTACAGTGTGTTTTTGTTCTGCTACCTTCCATAAGCTATGGACTTTGAAATGTACTTATCCTCAGTATTTGTGAAGGTGAATTTTGTAAAAAAGGTGTTTATTTAGGACAAAAAGAATTCTTTTTAGCAAAACTGTACTACTGTCTGAATACTAATCTGAAGGCAGTTTAATGCATTGATAAAGATCTGTGGGTATATACATGATACCTTGTTCTGACAATTAAAATTGTAGATGGTCAACATTTTTTGGATATTAGGCTAGTTTTCTAAATGCTATTGATTTTAACAGCAGATACGTTCTGTGACCCTGCATGTCTGATGGATATATCTGAAGGGAAAAAAACAAAAAATAAAAAGGTAAAGTAAAATTGCAACTTAATTTTAATAGATATTTTTAATCTATTTTAATTGACCATAGGATTTTTTTTAAATATTTGTATTAATGCACTGTTAACTTTCAACAAAATCCTTTCAAATTCACAGCCAATTAAAATGGTTCTGACTGCTTTAATAATACAACAGAGCCAGTTACAATTCCTATTCCCTAATACTACTAGCTGAGAGTTGGAATGATTATAGCATTTTGATGCTTGCATTTTGTTTTCTAAGATGTTGTATAATTTTTTAGTACTAACTAGTTACTGATTAATGGCAAGACAAACCATTGTATTTAATTATTCACTCTTTCAGTGATTTGGATTAGTTAATGTAGCTTTTTGCCTCTGAATTATTCACTGCATTATAATACCTCTGAATTGTTTGTAAGATTATTTAGAAAAATGATAAACCTAACTAAGTATAAAAGCTATAAAATGAAAAAGTCATACTTGAAGTTACATTTATAAATAGTTCATAAATCATGAATAAATTATTACAAGATGTTATAAATATGTTACAGACATGAGTATAGATGGTTATAACCATATTAGTGGACAACATTATAGATGTTTGTAAGCCATAGTTCAAAGCAATCTATTGACCTGCTAGACTTTATAACAATTGATTTAAACCGGTTATTAAAACCGCTATTAATTATTAATGCTTTATAAACTATTTATAAGCACACACTTAATATAAAGTGTGACAAATAGAAAATAATGTGATAGTTCAGTGTGTGCATTTAATAATACAAAATTAAATGGAGACTTTGTATTTTATGGCTATTTTATCTCAATCATAAGCTTCAGTCCTTTTGATATAGATCAGGACAGGAGTATCAGGCCTATAGAAACTATATTCTATGTCATAACTAGGAAGGAGAATGGAGAAACATTCACTCTACCCCCATCCTGAAGTCTTCTGTTTCTCTTGGCTCTTCTTTTTACTTGCATATAACACTTAGCAGTAGATCATTACCCTTCAATTATCACAACTTACATTTTCATCTGTTCCATTTAGAAATCCATGGAATTTCTAGGTTGTCCAGTTTAATAAGTATATTCTGATCCTTCTCTATCCAGGAGAATGGGGAAGAGGGAACCTTTTCAATGAGTAATTATTCTTTAGCTTGTTAATCTTTCAGATTTTGTCTTGGCCAGTGCTAAACTACCATTAAAGATTATTTGCTAAATTCATCCCTCCTGAAGTCAGTGGAGCTACATCAGAGGTATTATTGCCCCTATGTTCTGTACAATAAACGTAAAATTCTAAGGCTAATATGTGCTTCCTTTTTTCAAAATACTGTAGCTAGTTCCTGGTACATACAACATGGTGCTGTGCAATTCGTTCTTTTCCATAGTTCTTGTCATTAGATTCTTCAGTTTACATCAACATTATTTCTTCCAAAGGTACCCGGTAGTAAAAAACAAAATACAAAAGCTGATGAGAGAATAAAACAGACAACCAGACCAAAATGGCCTCGAAGAGCAGCATTAGCAAAAAAAAGTTATAAGGATTACTCAAATTCAGAGTCAGAAAGTGAACAGGAATCTTCACAGTACTTACGTCGGAAAGAAAAATTCAGAGTACAGGTAAACGGTATTATTGATCTTCTGCAGCATCTTTATGAAACTAGGGCCCTAATTTTCAAGTGGCCACTGATTTTAGGTGCCTCAAATTTTGAGTGCCCAAGTTGGAGAACCTTGAGCTCATGGGCAGCAGGTATAATAGGCACTGCTGCCGACCTGCCGCCGGACACCTGGGCCGCAGTGGCCTCAGCCCTTCCCTCAGACCGCCTCCACCACTCCACACACCACCACCACCAACACCCCAGGTCCTTGCTGCTCACTGCGTCCCTCCCCCGCTGGACGGGGCAGTGAGGAGGGACGTGGAGAGCCAGCAGACTAAGGAGGCTTGGCTGGGTGCTGGGGCCAGCAGCTTGGCAGGGGGCTAAGGAGCTGGCGCAAGGGGGACGGCGGCTTGGCCTGGCCCAACCGGCAGGGTGGACAGCGGCTCAGCCTGGCAGGCACTTGGAGGCCAGCGGGGACAGCAGCTTGGCCCAGCACTGGGGACAGCCTGACTTTGGCGGGGGGGATGGGGACGTCAGGGCTGGGGGGGGGCAACAGCTTGGGCTGGCCTGGAGCTGGGGGAGGCTGGAGGCTTAGCCCAGCGCTCAGGGAGGCCAGCAGCCCAGCGCTGCAGGAGGCTGGCGGCTTGGCCCATCACTGGGGCTGGCCTGACTGGCCGGGGGGCCATCAGGCGTGGGGGGGCTGGTGGCTCAGCCTTGCATTCATGCGGGGTGGGGAGGGCCGCAGCTGCGGCTCAGCCCGATGTGGTTGGGACGGGGCTCCTCCGGTCACAGGGGCGCCTCACAGTCAGGACTTCTCCTTTTATGGGGTGGGCTTTGGTGTGCGGGGGGGCTAGCCTCTCCAAAGCAGGGGTTCACCCACCGCCCATGCTTGAGCTTGATTTTCTGAAGCCCCTGTACTTTCCATTGACTTCAACTGAAATTGTTGGTGCTCAGACCCTCTGGAAATTACTCCCTATTTCTTTTTTCCCTACTCTAAAGTAGTACATTGATTTATACATACAGAATCTTCTGTCCTCCAAAAACATACGTTTTAGTAGTTTTTTTTATTTTCTTTTAAAAGCACCTAAGCTGCATAGGAGCCTAAAAGTCCCTAAGTAGGCTCTTTTAGATGACTTATACACTTTTTTGAAATTTGAAGTAGGGCTGTCAATTAATCGCAGTTAACTCAGGCAATTTAACTAAAAAAAAATTAGTCGCGATTAATCACAGTTTTAATTGCACTGTTAAACAATAAAATACCAATTGAAATTTATTAAATATTTTTGATGTTTTTCTGCATTTTCATATATATTGTATTCTGTGTTGTAATTGAAATCAAAGTGTATATTATTTTTATTACAAATATTTGCTCTGTAAAAATGATAAAATAAATAGTATTTTTCAGTTCCCCTCATACAAGAGCTGTAGTGCAATCTTTGTCTGAAAGTGCAAAGTACAAATGTAGATTTTTGTTGTTACATAACTGCACTCAAAAACAAAACAATGTAAAACTTCAGCACCTACAAGTCCGTCCACTCAGTCCTACTTCTTGTTCAGCCAATCTCTGAGACAAACAAGTTTGTTTACATTTACAGGAGATAATGCTGCCCGCTTCTTATTTACAATGTCACCAGAAAGTGAGAACAGGCATTTGCATGGCACTTTTGTTGCCGGCATTACAAGGTATTTACATGCCATATATGCTAAACATTGGTATGCTCTTTCATGCTACAGCCACCATTCCAGAGGACATGCTTCCATGCTGATGACGCTCGTTAAAAAAAATAATGCGTTAATTAAATTTGTGACTGAACTCCTTGAGCGAGAATTGTATGTCCCCTGCTGTTTTACCCGCATTCTGCCATATATTTCATGTTATAGCAGTCTCGGATGGTGACCCAGCACACACTGTTCATTTTAAGAACACTTTCACTGCAGATTTGACAAAATTCAAAGAAGGTACCAATGTAGAGATTTCTAAAGATAGCTACAGCACTCGACCCAAGGTTTAAGAATCTGAAGTGCCTTCCGAAATCTGACAGGGGCGAGGTGTGGAGCATGCTTTCAGAAGTCTTAAAAGAACAACATTACGATGCCGAAACTACAGAATCACCAAAAAAGAAAATCAATCTTCTGCTGTTGGCATCTGCTGCTTTGGATTGTTATCAAGCAGAACCCGTCATCGGCATTAACGCATGGCCTCTGGAATGGTGGTTGTAGCATGAAGAGACATATGAGACTTTAGCGCATCTGGCATGTAAATATCTTGTGACACTGGCTACAACAGTGCCATGCGAACGCCTGTTCTCACTTTCAGGCGACCTTGTAAACAAGAAGCGGGCAGCATTATCTCCTGCAAATGTAAACAAGCTTGTTTGTCTGAGCGATTGGCTAAACAAGAAGTAGGACTGAATGGACTTGCAGGCTCTAAAATGTTACATTGTTTTATTTTAGAATGCAGGTTTTTTGTACATAATTCTACATTTGTAAGTTCAACTTTCACGATAAAGGGATTGCACTACAGTACTTGTATTAGATGAATTGAAAAATACTATTTCTTTTGTTTTCTTACAGAGCAAATATTTGTAAAAAAAAAAAATATAATGTGATCACTGTACACTTTGTATTCTGTGTTATAATTGAAATCAATATATTTGAAAATGTAGAAGACATTCAAAAATATTGAAATAAATCATATTCGATGATTGTTTAACAGTGCGATTAATCACAGTTAATTTTTTTAATCTCTTGACAGCCCTAAAAAGAAGCATACATTAATACATTTGTTGAATGCCTAAATCAGTTTGGGATCAATTAAGCAATGGTGTGTTTTAATAAAGTACTGACAAACTGAAAAAGAGATGTTTCGCTCTTTTTTTTTTAATATAATTTTAATATTATATCAAGTAAAATTTATATACTGGATTAAACAATTTCTGCAACATGACAAATATGCTCAAATCCCAGTGAAGTCCATGGGAGTTGAAGACACCTAGGCACCTAGTGGGATTTTCAAACGCGCTTATCTGCATCTTTAGGCACCTAAATACCTTAGTACTAAAGGAAGAACTCGGCACCTCTCCAGATTAGACCATGTGTCTGACTGGACAAATAGATATATTGTACTGTATACTTATCTATATATACACATGTGTAATCTCTAGTGTGTTTAAATGTAATGCTTATGTAGATTTGTGTACCTCTAGCAAGAGCACAAAAATGGCCAAAACAAAGCTGTGAGTCAACACAAGGAACTACAGAACAATGTTTCTACAGAGCCAAAAAAGGGAATATCAAGAAATCAACAGCAAATATTTACTAAATCAAAAGACCCTATAAAACAAAGAAAATTAGAAATGTCACCAGTAGCCTCACCTGAAAGCCCAGCATCTGTTGAGACGATGAGATGTGTGTATTATTTTGTATTTTAATTTTTAAAGTTGTCAGCTCCAGTTTTGGATATGAATTAATTAATGTCTCTCTGTAATATTAATTCATTTCAAATAATTGCTTTAAAAATATATGTACTATATTCTCTTTACGTCCATTTAAGGTACAACATTATATGTTAAAATGCAGAAAATACATAGGTGTACTGTCATCATTGTTATAGATATTATGGTTGATATTTCATACCAGAGTGTAATAGAAATACAATGTATCAGTGAAAAGAACAGTTGGTAATTTACTTTCTATTAAAATATAGTATAATGATGAGCAATGCTAAGTAAAGCAATTTATTTCCTGTTGTGTAGACTTTAAGGACAAAGCACTTACATGAAAGTAACTCAATTGTGATATGAAAATATATTTCTAAATATCCATCTGTGCCATATGAAAGGTATAGCATTTTATTACAAAATCCAAATATTATATGGTCATGGGCAAATACATGTTTTTTCTTTATATGGTCAACACTCGAAGTTCCAGTATGTATTTTACTTGACTGCTTATTCAGTTTCAAAGGCAGTTTTTAATATGAAGGTATACCTTATTAAAGGATAGGATTTTCATGGGGAAATCCCAGTCCATTCAGTTTGCAATTCTTTTTTTCTAACACTATGGACTGTATTTTCTAAAAAGTATTATAGTTCTTAGGTCAAATCTGGACCGTTGAGCACCCACAACTCCTGTTCAAGGTAACTGGAGTTACAGGTTCTCAAAGACATTCAAGACAACCCCTTGAAAGCCAGCAACATGACTTTCTGGCCATCCTTCCATGGAACTCTCAATGACATCAGTGGGAATTCTGTACACAGAGAAGACTTGTGATATGAAGTATAAAAGAAAAAGGTGTTAAGGCATAATATCCTCAATTAAGTGTTTATACTTAAAAGGTGCTGAAAAAGTACCAGAGGAAACATTTACCCAGGAACAGGTTTCCTTGAAAAGATCATCATCATCATATCTTCAGGACTCAACACCAGAAAAGAGGGAGTCCTTACGCATTGTGAAAGGAATTTCAGCTAACAAGCTTTATACAACAAAAAAGAATAAGCAAAGTATACATCTAAAACAATCCCCTGAAAATGTCAAAAAGTTGGTATTTGGAAATGAAAGTTTATCACCAGTTTTAAGTTCACTTTCTTTGGTAAGAATTTAAAGTTACTCTTTACAATTATTTCAATGTCTGCATTATCTTAAGTAAAGTATATAGTATTCATTAATTAATCAGAACAGTTTCTTCATTTGGATGTTTTCAGGGGAACTGATTTAGTCTATTTATAGTGAATGAGAATTACTTCTCATAGTAATAGGAATAGAATTAGTATGCCATTCTAACAAGAAAGCAGGCCTGTAGAAGGTGGTTACATTGTATTCAACCAGGTGCTTTTGTAAGTGCAAAATTCCATGCTCTTTTTCAGAACAGAAGTATCCAAAAAGAGATTTAAAAGATGGAACATTAAAGCACAGATATGATAAATATAATTTATATTATTTTATATTTATGCAGTTCAAGTATTTAACTTTAAGATTTGTTGTATGGTCTCTTTTTTTACTTGGTGTCATGATTAGGACAGATGCGTAATCAAGAAAATCAAGTAGTGAAATAGGCTGTTCTAATCAGGAATACTAGTGTAATAATCATGGGAGGAAATTTACAATAATACAAATAGTATTGCTAAGAGGTCCCAACCAAGATTGGGGCTGGCCCCCTTCTTTTAGCTGCTTTATGTATACATAGTAAGAAGTAGTCCTTGCTTCAAAGAACTTGCCATCTAAATAGACAAGACAAAGGATGGGAGAAAAGAAATTATTCCCATTTTACAGATGAGGAACTGAGGCAGTGAGAAATTAAGTGAGTTGCTCAAGGTCGTACAGGAAGTCTGTGGCAGAGTTGGGACCTGCACTCAGAACTCCTGAGACCCAGGCCAGTGCCTTACCCACCAGACCATCCTTTCTTCTCCCTCACATCTCTGTTTATTTATTGGTCAGTAGAAACAAACACTGATTTCCCCAAGAGAAATAAAACTGAATATCTTCCACAATGTATTTATATACATTTGTATTAATCAGAGTTCTCATTCAGTTGTACAAGTCCATTTCAGTAAAGAGGTGCCAATGAAAATATCCTCCTTTTCTTTATCTCCAGCTGAGGACTGAATTTGAGGTTTTCCCTAACCCACAGACACATTCCAAATTGCTCAGTCTAGAGTCTCACGAGTGTGTGTTACACTCATGTGGGAGCATGACAACTCTATGTTTTCACTCATGGAGCTTTTGGAAGTCCTGTTTACTTGGCAGTAGGTTGGGCCCACTTAATCCATGAATACATCAAATTCCATGTGGATGTTTGATCAGTGGAGGCCAGGACAATCTTAAAATGCCTTCAAACTGCCTCCCACTCCTTGGCTGTCCTCCCATCCTCATGGCAGCAAAGCTGAGAGTTCCATGTTCCCATCGGTACCCCGCTCTAGCCACTTTCTCCAAGTCCTGCTTTAGGGATTTCAGATCATGAAGGGAGAACACATTTAAATTAATAGACTATGGCATTAACTCAATCAGAGGATTCCTGCATGATTGAAGGGGTGAACTCTGTGGAAAGTGTGCTCTCTTGTGAAAGATTTCAGTTTCTGGAGTACACTCTCAGAGGGGTGGGGAGATGGGAATATCACAGAGTAGGCACTTTCTTCTTCTATGTCCCCATCTCAAGTCTGAGTCTCTGATTTGGATCTCTGTCCTCTTCATTTGTAGACACTTAGGTTATGGTCTGTCCCTTAATTAGAAAAGTAAAGACAACTAGCTCATCTTTATCTTACACTTTCATAGGATTATGAACATGTTTACAGTCATTTTTATTTTAATTATGCATCCTGGTATGTGCTGAGATATTTTTTAAACTTCTGTTTAGATTTCCTACAAACTGATAAAATCATCTTCTCCATATGGCTGGTGTAAATGTAGAGCAACAACTATAATTTTACATTTAGATGGTTAAACCAGATAATTGCATCTGGAGTAGCAGAGTGTATTGCTGTGATGCCTGTTCTGGGTGACCAGTCACACACTGGAGAGTCTTTTTAATTTTCCATTTGTGCAACAAGTATCCGCATCTGCCATGGTTTGTGTGGATATGGTTTATGGTTGTCCATGAGCTTCATGGGAGATCGAAGCCAGGGATCTTCTGCATCAGGTCTTTCATGTGGTGTTTGTGACTTGTGAACTCCATTCGGCTTTCCATGCTTCATCAGGGTTGAAGTTGCATTGTTGAAGGTTAAATGTGTGGGTCCAAAAGGGCTTACATGACTTCAAGCAGCGGTGAGGGACATTGTTAAGGTCCTGGTGGAAGGAAGATGTTCATTTTCCATGATTCTCTGGAATTCCTAAAGGGTTGTGGCATCACAGCAAATGTGTGAGGGAGCAATGTGCAACAGCACTGGCAGCCAAGGTGTTGGGGTCGACTTGAGGGTTCCAGCGATGCATCACATTGCAGGGTTTAGTTGGACAGCAGCAAGTCAAGTATGGCTACTTCTGGTCCATACCGATGCACGGAGTACACAAGGGCTATAAAATTATACATTTGAATACCTATTTTCAATAACATTTTATTATTTTCTTTTGTGTAGCCTAGTCTGACTCCAGTAACTATGGACAAAGCTGTCACGAGTGGAAAAGACACAGAGGTTACTGAACCTGAGGTGGAAATATGTGATATTAGTGAGGCAGTGAATGTTACGAATTACCTTTCAGACAAACTCTCCATTACCGCAGAACTGAAAGATCTTACTAAAAATATGCAAAATAAAGGAGAGGTATGATAGAGACCGTCTATCCCATTTAAAAGCTGCAGCTTTATATGTTTGTTTATTTTACAATTGGTGGCATTAGGGAAAAATATATGTATATTGCTTTACATTTTTAACATTATTTTCAAACGTTTTCTTGTAATCTTGCCTGCATATTTCAGTTTAGTATAAAAACAGTGTTGTCTGGGATGTCATTGTTGGAAAATATCTTAATTTAGACTTTGCCTGTGTTATGACTGTAAGGAAATAATCTCTCATCCCAGCAATAGCACTGATCATTTGTATTTTAACAAAGAACACAAAACATATCTTTGCTTTTGCCTTGAATTTTTTTTAAATGGAAAAAAATTTCAAGAAGAAAATGACTTGTCACTTCTGCATGCAGAAACTTAAAAAATAAAATTAGGTAGTTTCTTGTACTTTTAGCCTTAGGCTATTAATATAAGTCCTGGAGAATTAATAATTATTAAAATTTTTGCCACTTAGACAAAACTGGCATGTGCAGACTGATTTGTTTGTTGTAACTGTACCTTAGTATTTTGATATTTATATTTCTAGTTTTTAATAAACATGTAAATGTTCATTTATGATTAAGACTATCTAAATGGGTTCACTGTCCTGGAGGTTGTTAATATATCATTTTATTTTGTTTAGGAATCTGTACCTCCATCTCAATTATACACTTCCAGTGGAAGCAGAGAACAGTCATGGTGTGAAGATCCCTGTGGCACCATACATGAATCTGGTATGTAAGTGTCTCTTATGAAAAAGCACTTTCTTTGGATATCTGTAAATAGTTAATGAAAAACTTGTCTTAGATACAGAAATATGGCCTGATTCTTCAAGCCCTACATGTGGAAATGGATCTCCTATAAACTTTATTTAGTATTTTTTACCAGTATATTTGTCTTTTCATATATTCTCAGTTTATTCTGTTCCTAAAGTTAGTGTTAATCTTTGTTGTTATTGATAGGAAGCTACTGTTAGATGTGAATGTTTTTCACTTAAGCATTAGAAGCATCAATTGGGAGTCTGTTTAGGCACCCCCTATATAAACTGAGAATTTAACTCAAAAAAGCCTCTAGAGGTCTGCCTTCATGAAAATAATGGTAAGTGGAACTTTTTAGCACTCCCAGGATTGCTGGACTGGGTATGTGAGAAGACAAATTTACAGGTAAGAGACTAAATTGGCCCATTTGGAGAATGTGGTTGGGTAGAGGTGTGTGGTTATACCTATGGATCCACAATTCTGCCATGGAGGCTATTATATCCCTTGGAACCCCATTGCCACACTTAATTTAGGAGCCAGATTTAATGCTTTTTGTGAGAATAGTCCCTTCATCTTGATTGAATTAAGTAGTCGACCGTTCTCCAGAGGGTTTTTCTGCCCATCAGTCTGTCAGGAGTAAGGAATCTGCAGAAGCAATTCCCAGTGGAGAAAGGAAGCATACTTGTTTTAACAGATGTTCTCCAAGTATATTATGTCAGCAGACCCACACTAACTGTATCATCCATCCTTTTCTGCTTCATTGGAGTCCTTGCATGGTATATGGCCTAAAGACACTGAAGGTGATTGTGGCAACAGCCCCTTATATTGACATGCACCAAACATCCAGGGCTGTGCACAAGTCCTCTTGCAAATGCAACATTCATTGATTTCTCTATAGCTCTGAAATTAAATATGTTTGTCATACTTTAAAGGGCCTACAGTTCAAGTGAATCTCAAACGAATGTACCACAGTGATGCAGAAAGTGATTCTGATGAAGTGGAAATGAAGAAGGAAGAAGAGAGAAAAACAAAGCTTCTCCCTAGAAAATTATTTAAAGCAGATGATGATACTGTGTATAAAGGTTAGCTGGAGCTATAGTCATACAATAAGTGTAAACCAGAAAACTGCTTAAAGTATTAACCATGAACAATAACATTACAATTCTAATTAAAACCCTTAGGATAGGGTGACCAGATGTCCCAATTTTATACGGACAGTCCTGATATTTGAGGCTTTTTCTTAAATAAGTGCCTATTACCTCCCCGCCCCCCAGTCCTGATTTTTCACACTTGCTATCTGGTCACCCTACTTTAGGACATCTTAATAAGCTCCATTTTTATTGCAGACATTTAAGAAAAGAGCATTACCGGCTCTTCTCTGAGACATTGATACAGAATGCTGTGGAAAATTTTCTTTCCTTAACTAATAACATAAATGTTCAAGAAACACAGCAGTCAACTTCTTATCATTCAGATGAATAAACAAACAGAAGTTTGATCACTTATGGTCAATAAAGAGCTAATTGCATGTTTCACAAGAGATGCATCCCAGTATTCTCTCCAAATTGGAATCTGAATGTTTATATTTTGCCTACCTAAATTTGTAATACACCTCTACCCCGATATAATGCTGTCCTCGGGAGCCAAAAAAATCTTACCGCGTTATAGGTGAAACTGCGTTATATCGAACTTGCTTTGATCCACTGGAGTGCGCAGCCCTGCCCCCCCACCCCCCCGGAGCACTGCTTTACCGTGTTAAATCCGAATTTGTGTTATATCAGGTCGTGTTGTATCAGGATAGAGGTGTAGTTTACCAGTTAGATAAGGTGTTGTCTGAGATCACTTCTTCCTCTTACTGAAACAGGAACACATTCTCCATAGACTATGTTATGTCTCTACCTATTAGGAAGTAAAGAGGCAAATAATTCGGAGTCACTGCAGGTATATCAGATAAACGAGTGCCCCCTACTCTATGTACTTCCCTCAACCAGTTCCTTGGCATGAGACTTGCTGGGGATAGGGAGAGGAGCACTAACTGGAAGGAAAAACAAGTAGTAGAAGATAAAAGGCTCCATCATGCTCAGTAGTACAACAGTGAAACTGGTGGTCTGGGACAGTAGGGCTGACCATGAGCTTCCCCTAAGGCTCCTAGAGGAGGAGGAGTTAACATTGAGAATACCTTGGGGTCAAGCCCATGGACATAAGATACTCTGATAGAAGACCACATTCCTAAGGGGTCTCACTCCCATCCCAAAGGACTGTAGAGAGACGCAACTGAAGGTCCTGAATCTGGGAACTAGAGCTGGATGACACTCTAGCTCCTTCGTCCCTCTTTTTCTGCTTGTTCTCCTTTCTTGCTTTTTCTTGTCTCTTCTTCTTTCTTCCTCCTTACCATCTTTCATCAGACCTGAAGAAGAAGATGCAAAATTAGGGGAATTAGCTGAAGCATGGATTCAATGCTTGCAATGAGAGTAGAGGCAAAGAAGACTTAGACTTGGGGAGGGCACTTTTAAACCTCCGCTGGCTCATAGAATTTGTTGTGTCCTTGCTTTCTGCTAGAGAAATCCATAATGCAGTGTGCAAGGACTCATTCCTTTTCCAGAAATGGGAAGAAGTGGGGTGCAACAAACGAAATAACTGGTAAGAAATCTTCTGTCATCACTTTCTTTACTAAATTGCTATATGTTAAATTGTTGTGTGGGATATAATAGTAGCTGCATTTCATTCAAGAAGTCGTTGCAATCTCTTTGATGGAAATAACAATGTCTGTTTTATGTTTGTAGTGGTGTATGTTTAAAATTTTAAAGCATTTTGAAATCCTTTAGTAGTAAGGGTGGTATGCAAATTCAAGGTATGGTTGGGTCATAGCCTGCATAAGGACTTCAGGATATCTCCTTTCGACATAACATTTTACCTTCTAAGAGATCTTCCCCTTTGGGTCCTAATTTTCAAATATTAAGTATGCAATAACATGCCAAATTTGTGTGTGCCATGTTTTTGGGCAGATTTTCAAAAGGTCTAATATTGGCCTGCTTTTTTTCATGCTCAACTTTTTAAAGTTTTGATATAATGTCATTTGTGTATTTAGAGTGGTGTTGCCCCTGTACATTGAAGAGGTGGGGGAGAGAGAGTATGTATGTAATACATGTGTACTTGATAAATCTTGAGATGTTTTAGTGGCTGGGTGGATAATGGGCTTTTCACCAAATTTCTAAATAGTATATTTAATAATTATAGATTTCAAATGTCTGGTAAATGTCTCATGCAAAACATGAAACATGTTTAAAAAAATTAGAAAGAAAAAGATCAAACATATACAAATGAAATCTGTTAAAGACAGAAAGTGGTTAATAAAATATATAGAAGGTCAGGAGTTTAGTTTCTGAAATTAAACTGGATGCAATTGAAATTGATATGAGCCCTAGTCTTAGGATTTATAAACCCAGCCATCAGAACTGCAATAACTTATACTGTACAGATTATATATTAATATGTTCCTACTTTGCTAACTTTACATATGAACTTTTACAAATTTTCAGTGTCCGAGAGCATATCTACTGTGTCTGTAAATGAGTTGTCTGTTTTGGATGGAGAGGTCTGCGACCCTGGTTGTTCAAATATAGGGATAGGTCAGAAGCTCCATAAGGAATTTACTAGGAAAATTCAGGTAAGGCATATATGTGTGTGTATAGAAAAAATATACTTTCTTTCATTCATTCTCATATATGATACTCTTAACTGGAAACATCATTAACAGAGCTACCTTATATATTATTGCATACAAGAATAAATATGAAAAGAATGTTAAGGTCGTTATGTCAAAGACTGAGAAGTTAGTAAATTCCAGAATAAAGGTTGTCTGCGCAACCTTTATATGGCACCCTTTTTGCATATGCATTATGATACATTCTTTTAATTACATGATCATTCTTCAGGACCTCTTCCTCATTCAGTGCACAGGATAGACACTGCTCAAGGATTGAGGCAACTCTTCAATATTTCTTTTTATCCTTCGGTGGTGCCCCCATGTTACATTTACTACATACCATTCAAACCCTGCCCAGCATACAGAATTATTAATTTCTTCTGGATCTGTTTTTTTTGGCACTCATCACTGTTGCATCTCAGTGCTTCAGAAACATTCATGCATTTATCTTCACAATACACCTGGCTGAGATAATGTTGTTATCCCCAATATGCTGAAGTGAGATTAATGGACAGTTGTCCATATAGACAACAACCTCATATATTTAATAGATTCATAGATTCATAGATTC